GTACATAATTGTCAGTACTTGTAATCCCTTTCTTGTAGTCCCATTAAATGTTCTGTGGATTCATTTCTCAGCACCACTTTTTTCTGTCTTTCTGGACGTACAGGGCCAATCGAACCTACCGTCTTCTTTTTTTTTAGATTTCTCCGCGGAGACTCTGCCGATTTTCATGAAATTTAGATTTTTCTGGAGCTGAGATTCGCCATTTTCAACCAGTTGAATTTCAGGAACAAATATTCTGAATTGACTTTACTTTGCCTTCCCAAAGTTTTTGAAAATTATTTTTGAGCCGAAACCGCTAAAATTACAATTAAATTCATTACAATTACAGATGAAAATGCTAATAGTACAAAATTTTTGTTTTGTCAACCTACAGTGGGGGACCTGAGCCAGTGGCAAGAAACGTAAAATTTTGCATTCGGGAAGTATCAAAAACGAGGCAAAATGCTTCCCTCTCCAACTGAAAAAACTACGATTTCAAAAGCGCGCCCGCCCTTTTTGTGAATGAAAGGGCGCGCCCTTCAAAACGAAGTTTTTTCACTTTGAGATGGAAGCATTTTGCCACATTTTTGATACTTCCTGGACGCAAATGGTACGTTTTTTGCCACTGGATAAGCTCCACTGTTGTCTCTTACAAGGAAGTTTTTGCTCGGGCTCAGAGCATCAGATTGTCTTTAAATTTTGAACCGTTGCAGGCACATGTCAGATACCAAATTCCTGAAACTTAAAGCCCTCGCCTTGCAGGTACAGTTGTGATATTCAACAAGCTTTGCGGCCCATAGACTATGCGAAAACTGAACAGAGGTCAGAAAGAAAAACACTTTTTGGCCATGCCTCTGCTAATTTCACGCGGAAAAAATGATTTTATGTGGAAACATTGCTCTCTACAGTAGAAATAAGGCTCGGAAATTTCATGCATAAACATGAAAAAAACTACCACACTTTTACCAAATTTTGAACTAAAAATCTCGCTTAATCTGTGCAACATATTATAGCTTAAACTTTTCCCTTCCGGCAATCTCTCTTTTCTTTCCCAGCCGAACATTGCTGAAATTTTCGCTCCAACCCCGGAAACATTGGCCGTGAAAATTGGATTAGCCTCCGGCGCGAAGATATGTCCAAAATTTTTTTTACAAACGTTGGAAACAGGAACGGGTTCACTGCGCGAGCCGCCCCGAAATAAACCCAAAAATGGAACGCTTTGAGGGAGAACGGGCCAAATTTGATAAAAATGATGTTCCCCCCAATGGCGGAAGCTCCTGAAACTAAAGTAGTAAAAAGTAGCGCGGATGTGCTGGCCAAGTTCTTTGGAGGTACTATGAGATGGTTTTGAGAGAGGCCGGGCGATTGAGTTGAAGGGTTTTTTGGAAGTTCATTGGGACTGGGCAAAATCGCGGTTGTGGGTCAGGGGTACACTAATTGTAAGGGGAAAGCGGACATAGGGTAGTTGGTATGGCCCTTAGACAGAGGTCGGCAAAAAAATGAACAGGAGAAGGGGGTATATTGAATAAATAAATGTTTTTAAACCGTGGGGACTAATTCTACTTGAGGTGTAATAAGTCAAGTTCTGTCATCTGCTATACGTAAGGGGGTCTATGCTTAGTGGTTGATCTCGAATTCGCCATGGAAAACCGCCGTCAGGTCAGGGAGGCAAATCATGACTCGAGGGAGCAGTCCAAGGGGGCCCGAAATATATAAATACGTACAGTCACCGCCCTGATCCAGCGGCAAGAAACGTACCATTTTGGATCCAGGAAGTATCAAAAATGTGGAAAAATGTTTCTCTCTCCAATTAAAAAAAAAGTTCGTTTTGAATGGCGCGCCCTTCCCCTCACGAAAAAATGCGAGCGCGCTTTTGAAGTTGGAGTTTTTTCACTTGGAGAGGGAAGTATTTTGCCACATTTTTGATGCTTCCTGCATCCAAAATGGTACATTTTTGCCATTAGATCGGATCCGTGATTGTATACGAAAAATTCCTACCCGGTTTGAAGTGTTGGTCGCCAAATCACAGTAGAGCTATCCAATTCAATTCAATTTATTTCACTAATCACATGTAAAAATCATGGAGTGAATCAGTATGGTTTCTATTGTCCAGTCAACGCAACATCCTTCCGTCGGTGGCTATAGTGCTTTGGTCCTTCTTATCCTGGGGCGTCCGAGCGGGTGTGTGTAGGAGGTGTCCATTCTAGTAGCATCACTACCAGAACTGAACAGTACATATCCCGAGATTAGCTCCACCGTTTCCTTTTTCCAGCGATTTCTCGAACTGCTCCAACTTCCCCTCGCTTCGAATTGATCAACATTGACTGTACCAACTCGAAATCCAATACGATTGATGGCTACTGTCCCAGGCAAAGCCCTTTGTGCCCGCGACGGCATGAGTGGACAGGAAAAACCGACCGCTCTCCGAGTAGAGCTAAAATCCTCTAAAATTGTTTGTGACATTCTTTGAATTCGATCAATGCAAAGTGTGTTATTTGAAGTCATCCTGTGCGCATTTTACAGTAATATTATCCAACATTCCTCTATCCCGGAAATTTATTTACAGTTTCGAACGCGGAAATGCGCTTATGTTCGTCGCCCTTTTGACTAGCCTACTTTTCGCCGTGCCCTATCGCTAACCGGATTCCGGGTGTTATTGAGTTTGCGAGGACAAAAGAAATTTCATTTTGTGTAAATCTCGTTGCTTTTTTCGTTGATTGGACCTAATCTGTTGGTGGGGGAAAATTCGTTACACTTGTTGAAGAATGTTATATGGGACTAGTCGGTGGTGTGTTTTGTTTTGACGCCGAAATAAGTTCATTGTCGTGTTTTTAGGCCAGGTCCTAATATGGAAGCCTTATCTGTCTTTCAGACAGGGCAGATTTGCTTCAAATCTTGCATAAGTAGTCTGCATGGTGTTATTAACAGTGACCAACACTGAATTTTATAAGACCAAAAGCGCAATGCTCAGTCTGCTTTTTCCAAATCAAACACTTCTTTTGTATGACAAGCTCTTCTCATTTTGCTAACAGGGGAAGTACTCCAAGTGCGACGCTCAGATTTTGATGAAACTTGGCACAAATTTAGAATATTTTTTTCTAAAATATCTGCGAGACTCCTAGCCTGCGCTTTGCAGAAACAACCGAGATTTTTAGATCGAAAGTGGGTGAAAATTTGGCACTTTTTTGCCGAATTTCGGCACGAAAATTTTTATGCCTATTTCTACTATAGAGGGTAACATTTCCACAAAAAATCATTTTTTTCCGCACGAAGCAAGCAAAGTTATGATCAAAAAGTGTTTTCTCGCTGACCGCTCTCCGCGTTTAGCGTACTCGCTCGGCGGCAAAGATCGCTCCATATCTCGGCGGCGCTTACAAAACGCGAGCTAAAACTTTCAGGAATTGATATTTAGTTCATGTCCGACGTGTGTGCAAAATTTAAAGAAAATCTGAGCGTCGCACTTGGGGTACTTCCCTTGTAAGCTGCTACGCAAAAAAAAGCTGAATATCTCGGCTGTAACTGCAAAGCTTTAGCAAAGATCCACAGGAATTTCCGTGTAGATTAGAGACTCCAAGTTGGCAAAACTTCAAGAAAATTTCGGTGATCTTGCTCTAGGCATTTCTCTTTTTTTTTTGTTCAATATTGACCTAAAATAATCTTTTAAAAATAATCTTTTATTTTAGGTCTATATTGAACAAAAAAAAAACGCAAACTATCTTCCTCTCATTATCCAATATCTTCCCCTCAAATTTTGCTTCCGACTTTTGGACCCTCGTTAGAATCCTAGATGACATTTCTCCCTCAATGGCACCAAACCCATCACGTCATTCTAGTTTTAGGAATTTTTAACTCCCACCCTCAACACTGGAGATGTTCCGTTTCCAAGTTTTCGGACAAAAAATTGACTTCGGGAACGTTTTATGAGTGAAAAGTTTGCTATTAGTAATTCAGTAATTACAGGAAGATGAATGAAATATTACGTTTTTTCGCATAGATTATGGGCAAAAACGTTCTGGATGTTCATTGCTCTTCTCTTGGTAGGGCAATTTATGCTTTCTGATAGTAAAATTTATTGCTGTTTCCCTAGACATTAAAAAAATAAATAAAATCCTCAATTTAATATTTTTCGGGGTTTTTTTTATTTTATTATTACAAAAAATCGTTCATCAAAAAACATCAAACTCAAAACTAAAATATTTAACTGACTTATTGTTTATTATTAAATTGATTTTTTAATTTTTTGCACTTCATTTTTTCAAATTAAATTTAACTTCGAAAAAAGTCATTCAATTAACATAATTTCTATTTTTAAATTGGTTGCTTTAATGTTAACTTTACTTACTTTGCATGTTGTTATAAAGGTCACAACTTTTGGAAAATAAAAAAAATAAAAGAATTTTTAGTATCCAATAATACTAAAAAAATAAAATTTTCCACTGGATTTGAACTTTATCTTTAATCAAATAAAAATAAATTTACTTTTTATAATTTTCCCATTTTTCAATTTTTTGATTAATTTACTTTTATTTATTTCGCGTTATTTTATTTTGGCTTCATTCCAAAATTTTATTACAGTAACCTGAACTTTCAGCTAATCTTCAATGTCCATCGCAAAGCCTTAAAATTTTCTCTTCGGGATTATAATCTTTTTATGTAAGTTTTCCCGCATATATAACTATTTTCGGCTTTCCCTGGGAATGTAATCCAAAATAAAAAAAATAGAAAACAACCTTGATAATTTATGAATTCCCGGGTCAAAAAAAACTAAAATTTTTGAAATGAAAAAATGCTTTTTACTTTTTTTATTCTTTTTTACTTTTTTTTATTTTTTAACAAATAAAATATTTGCAAACATTTCTCCTAAAAATAGCCGGCTATAAAACAAAAAAAATCGTTTGACTTGCAACATTGACAAGACCTGTCAATTTTACAGAGTTAAATTAAAATCGTCTTTTTTAAATGAAAAAACAATTTTTTTGAATTTTCGAAAAAAATATTGTCTTTATTTTCAGCACATACAAATGTCGGTTACCCTGGACAATATCACTTATCCCGAATGCCCGCCACAGCCCCCACCAGTCTCAATAGGATATGCGTAAGTTGTGAAAAGGGAAAAATAAAATAAAAAAAGCAAAAAATGAAGTCTATTTTTTATAAAAAAAAATTTTTTGGATATTTATTTTTTTATTATAATTTAGGAATAGTTTTGGTCTCTAAATATGTTTTTCTTTTTTAGGAACTTTTTACTATTTTTTTACCTCGTTGAGCAATTTTGATTTTTTCAATATTTTTTTTTATTTTTTCAAAAGCGGTTTATTTATTTTTTATTATTTTTTCGTTAAGCAATTTTTATTTTTTTATTTATTTATTTTTTTTTTTGATTTTTTAAATTATTCTGTGTTATTTTTAAATACCGTATTTTACCCAAAAACATTTTTCAGAATATTCAGTCAATTTGTCAACGGCTTCCTCACTTCAATATGCGTTGCCGTCGGCACCGTCGGCAATTTCTATTCGGTTCGCTCGATAAAACTGTCGAATTTCGATAAAAATTCGAATCGCGGTGTCACGCTGGCCTTCTCGATTGTCACGCTGGCCATCTGGGACTCGATCCTTCTATGGTTCGCCTTCTTTTACTACGGTTTCAAGAACCTGGTGCACGCGGAATACTTGAGTTTTGTCAACATTTTCACGCCTTATATGCATGGCTGCTCGCAAGTCGCGAATACGGCGTCGGTAGGTTTGGAATGGGACCTTCCCTCAGGCATTTTTTCAAACAATTTTTAAAAAATTTTGATTTTTCTTTTTTTTTTTGAAATTTTTTCATTTAAAAACCCCAAAATTTCATCTCAAATTTTTTGATTTCAGATCTGGTGTGTTGTTGCAATAACAGTCCAACGGTATTGGGCGACCCGAGACCCTTTTCGGACCACGCGATGGCTTCTTCACATAACCTCGGCGGAATTAAAAGAGTATGCCCCGATTCGGTCGTCATTACGGTAGGCGGAGAATGGTTGAACCTGTCCTTGGCTTATGTCCTCGCTGTCGTTTCTTACTGTAATTTCGAGTGCTTTCGCGAAAATGAGCGCTATTTTTTCGGAGGGTTCCTCTAACAACTTTTGTTTCGTTTTTCTAAATTTTTTTTGAAAATTTTAATGTCAGTTTGGCTTCTGGATAACGACTTAAAATTAGAATTTTTGTTTATTTTCAAAAAAATCAAAAAATCTTTCAAAGTGGACGTTTTATACGATGAAACATGTTTAAGCATGTTTCATAGTATAAAATGTCACTCTCTTTTAATTTTACGTACGTTGTCAACGTAGGCCTGACCAGTAACTGCAAACATTAACTTTCGCTTCGAGGGTGACATTTTATACGACAAAACATGTTCAGATATTTTTCATCGTATAAAATGTCACTTCCCTAAAATTTTGTGCACATGCTGTAAATAGGCCATAAATCAATCTTTTTCAATTTTAAGCTGACCTTTGCACCAGAGAAAAGATATTCAACAATCTTTATTACGAGAGAGTACGCAAATTTAGGAGTCGGCCAGACAAAAAATATTCGTGCTTTGTTATCCAGATGTTTAACTCTATCCATTTCCCTTGAACCCATTCCGATTATTTGTATGTTTCAGCCATTTTTCCGCTTGCCGTGCTGACGTTTGGTTTTTACCCAAGTTTTTTTTTACTTTGATTTTCACTATTTTTGGCTTTGTTTGCAATTTTTGGCTACGCTTTCTGATACCACATTGGTTGGCAAGCTTTGCTAACTTCGCTGACACCTATTTTGTGCTTTTTTGAGGAAAAAAATTATATTATCCATAATAAATTTATCTTGGATAATATGAATTTTCAAAAAATTTTACAAAATTTTTCGCCCAAACATGAAAGTTTTGCCCCAGTTTGCAGTGAAAGCAATGTAAAACATTTGCCGGAACGTATTTTACCATAAAATCTTACTTTCAGACATCATCGAGCATTAATAAATTCGTTTCGAGGGGATCGACGCAAATCTTCCTCGTTCTATTTCTGCACAATGTATCGAAAACAGCTGGCAATGCCGCTGGCATTGAGTTTTCTGGCCATTTTTGTGAACATCCCGGCGTTTTTTGAGGTCACAACCATAACTTGCTACAGGATATTGACGAAAAGGGTGGTTTATGTGGTAAGCTTCTTAAAAGAAAGAAATGGGGAAAAACTTTTTTTCTATTTGGCTATTTGGCACAGTTTATGAAAATTCCTTAAAGTGACATTTTATACGACAAAACTCGTCTAGACATCTTTCATCGTATAAAATATCGCTTTCTCAAATTTTGCATATGCTAGCTGCAGAAGTACACTTTAAAATTCAAAATGTGACTTTCGATTTCCTAAAAAAGTCGAATTTTCTATTGAAGGAGACATTTTATACGACAAAACTTGTCCAGACATCTTTCATGGTATAAAATGTATTTTCCTCCAAATTTTGCATATATTCTGTGCAGAAATCCGTTATTGAAATTCTAATTTTGGCTTCCACTTCCTAAAAGTCTAGTTTTCTCTTCAAGGAGACATTTTATACGACAAAACTTGTCCAGACGTCTTTCATCGTATAAAATGTCACTTCATTCAAAATTCCCATATTTTTTCTAGAAATCTTCTGGCTTTAGCTTAGACTCTTGCACTGCTAATTAGAAAATCTGATTAGCTCTCGGAGACGACATTTTATACGACTAAATTTTCCTAGACATGTTTCATCGTATAAAACGGCACTTTTTCAAATTTAAGATCGTCTGCGCAATATTTAGTTGGTAAAATACGTTTTTCATTGTTGACCTTTTCTAAAATCGACATATTTGTAGCTAAAAATCTCGGGGATGCGTCTCAGCCCCATCTACACACTATGGTACAAGGTTGTGTTCCGGATGCTGATCACAACTTGCGGTCCAAACATTTGCATATTACTGTTGACAATACGAACGGTTATGTTGTTACGGGGCTCCACAAAAAGTCGACGGCATTTATTCCAAATGAGCGACTCGTTAATCGACCGGTATTCCTCAAAGTAAGCATTTGCGCCATTTTTTGGACAAAAAATTAGATTTTTTTCACTTAATTTGCAATTTTTGCAGAGCAACAATGCTGACAATGATCTCAATTATGTTGGTGGTGAAATTTCTGGCCTTCCGGAGTCTATCTTTCATGGTGAGTTTGTAAAATACGGTCCTTGTTTAAACGTTTTCATAAAAAAAAATGTCAAGCATAATAAAAAACGCCTAATTCCCATGATTTTAGCTGGATATTTGGGAGCTGTTGTTCGGATTCGGCGAGAATATCCGTGTTTTCGTCTACCTAGTCGACCTCTCCAATATTATGATCCTGTTGAACAGCTCGACAAACTGTTTTATTATTTTTTGGTGCTCAAAATGGCTGCAGGAAAAGATTGTGCAACGGAATACGTTGAAAAGAGAGAAACTGATTTGTGGAGAAGGGTAAGCTACTACTGCTTAGTAATTCGTAATTTTGCATTAAAAATGTCTTAACATTGTACAGCGGACCTGATAAATTGGCAAAAAATGTACCATTTTGGATCCGGGAAGTATCAAAAATGCGGCAAAGTGCTTCCCTCTCCAAGTGAAAAAACTCCGATTTCAAAAGCACTTTTTATGAGGGAAAGGGCGCGCATTTCAAAACGAAGTTTTTTTCTTGTAGTGGGAGGTATTTTGCCACATTTTTAATACTTCCCGAATGCAAAATTATAAGTTTTTTGCCAATGGATCAGGTCCCTCGCTGTACAGTAAAAACTCGGTATAACAAATCGCTAGGATCAAAAAATGTATTTGCCATAGAAATATTTTGTTGTATGGAAGTTTAACTGCAAGTATAGTGTCTATCGTAGGCTAAAAAATTTTAAGAAAAAGGGGTTTTTCCGCTTGAAATTGACAAGGGTGACTAAAAAAATCAACTTTTCTATGGCTGGCCGATCAATTTTCTTGGCTGTCTCATCTGCAAAGGTTGTTGAATATCTCAGCTGACTTTGCAACGCGCTAGCTAAAATTTTCAAGAATTGATCTGCGAGCTAGGCCCAGTATCTGTACAAATTTTGACAAAAATCTGAGCCTTGGAACACTTCACTTGCTAGTTTTTTCAAAAATTTTGGGCCGTAGCTTATCGTTAGATACTTTACTTTGTATAATAACTTCATTTTTTCCAATTTTTTACTCTTTCCTTGTGATTTTTTGGGCACTCCACAACATATCTCGTATTTTACAAATCCTTCAAAAACCACTTCACTTACAAACCCATTTTTTTAGCAACTGGTTCGCCTCCATGGACCGAATAAACCTCCTCCACAAATCCTGGCGCCAACTCGTCTCGCACACTCACGATCAAGTTGGCCAACGAGTCCTCTACGCCATGCTGATCGGGAATCCACAAGTCTTCTCGATGTTCCGACAGATCTGCAAGTCCTCGGAGACCGGCACTCCCGTCCAGTGCAACCGCAACAAACGGGTGGTCCGCCTCACCTCCTCGGCACGGATGCCAACCTCTCCGTCGATGGATTGGGACCCGTTGGGTCGCCTCCATCCCGAGAGTATCTCCATTTCGGCGACTGTGAACGAGACGATCGACGACCGGTATCGTCATTCGCCGAAGCCGGTGCAAATCGTGGTCCCGATTATGAAACAGGACGAGGGAGAGGTGTTCGCGTCCGCCGAGGACCTGCTCAACATTCCAAGCACGTCGTCGGAGGGCGAAAACACTGTCAGGTTTCTGCTGGATGCGGAAACAGTCCGGCAGACGGCTTCGCCGAGGTAAGAGGAGCATAAGTTATGAGAAATAGCAGGCTTTTAAAACTATGACAAAAAAATTAAAACCCAGCGAAATTAGAGGGCCAAAAAGGCTTAAAAATGTCATAACTGAAAGCTCAACCCATCAATTTCCTTAAAATTTCGCATAGACCTTCTACATAGCCCACGTATCAATCACTAAAACTTCTGGCGCATTTTATAGCCCAGCAGCTGAGATTTTGAACAATTTTTTCTCAAAGACACCAAAAAATCATTTTCATTTTTTTCATTGTTCCACTGAATATACGTATTGGCATGAATTAGCCGAGTTCCATTTGGTTGTTGACCCATAAGGAAGGGGTATCAGTTTGCAAAATAAATATGCGATTGGGAGCTTGAGTACACAAAACTTTTTTGTTTATAATAATATTATAATATAGTTTACGGTAGTCTACAAGGCTTAGGGGAGTTTCTGAGGCGTATATAAACAGATAAGATATCCATTTGCTATTTACGAAGACGACAGACCAATTTTTCGATTTTTTATTTTGAACATGTTTCATCGTATAAACTGTCACCTTTGCAAAAAAGTGTTTGAGAAATGCCAGAAAACGTCTTTGTCGGCGTATTTTACCTATAGTATGTTGACAATATCGTTTCTTGATATTTAATCCCAGACATCTTTCATCGTATAAGATGTCATTTTGGCGGTAAATGGCCCGTATGTGCCGGGAAAGACATTAAAATAGCTTAGGGAGTAATGGTAATTTATTTCTGACAGTTAGTTACTCAAAAAGTTTCATTTTTTTGCTGAAAAAATCATTAAAAATCATTTTGAAATTATAAAATCCCAAAATTTCAGACCCTCATCCCCAGCCAGCACAACATGTTCAACGTCCTCCAAATCCCACAATCATCATAAAAAGATGAAAAAGTCCAATTCCGCCGTTCCCGTGGAGTCGCAAGTCAAGTACTACTCCTGCCCGATGACCGACGAGGAGCGCAAAGAAAAGCCGGTCGAGATTTTGATGAATCGACAATTCAACAAGATCTCCGAGCAAATCACCACCTTCATCGACGACACCATCCAGGACATGCGAAAAGGAACGTCGGAGGCCGAGGTCTCGCAGAGCATCCGCAAGTTGGGCGACTTGCACTACGAAAAGGGGATTTTGATCCCGCCCACGGCCTGGAGGGACTTCAAACAGAGCATTTTCAAGGGCTTGGAGGAGTGCAGTTATAATAATGAGCATGTAAGAGACTTGAAAAAAGTGATGCAAAGGGAATAGAGGTGAAAAATTGAAAAGTAAAAAAATGGAAGTAAAAAATTTAAAATTTGAAAATCTCGAAACCTGAGGCTCCGATTTTGCCCAAATTTGGAATATTTCATCTAAATGGACTTCAGATAAATCACTGAAATTTTCAGCTCAGGCTTTGCTTTCTTAGCCGAGATATTCAACAATCTTTTTTGAGAGAGAGAGCATAAAAATGAGGAGAGACAAGCAGAGAAAAAAAAACAATTTTTGGCTCTATCAAATTTCCAATGAAAATTTTGATTTTGTAGTAGAAATATTATATACTTAACTCTTTTAATTAAGGTACAAAATGACAAAAAAAAATAAAATTTTTCGAAATTTTTGATTAAAAATTGTCATGATTTTCCAAAAAAACTTGATCTAAAAGACTCGAAAATACGTTCAAAAAATCCTGTACAGTTTTCTTAATATCCAAGGGATCCAAGGAACAAAATACCTCAGTGACTTTTTTCGTATTTTACCTTGATCAGCCTGCCCTAAACTTTGCCCTAATCCTTCAAAACCTCTCCTTTTTCCAGGAGCGCCGTCTCGTAATGGAGACCTGGAACTCCTTCATCGCCATGTTCATCCGCGAAATGAAACTCTCCATGCTGGGTGCGAGCAATAATGGGACTCAGCCGAACGTGCATCACAAATTCTCCACAGTCAGCCAATGTGGGAACTTTGAGAGAAGATGAAAAAACCAGACGTCGTACAAAGAATTACGGTAATCTACGGGTATAACCTATGTTTTTCTCGAATCTACGGGCTAATAATTGGACTTTTATTGTTCATCCACTTCAAGTTTGTCGTTGAGCTTATTAATTTTGAGATTTTTATATTGTACTAGGTATTGATGTAAGAATTGGGTGTATTTCGGCGCAGAAATTTTTCTAACGCTTCGTTTTATTTTTCCTTGTCCTAAAATTCCGTCCAACACATTTTTTAACGATTTTTGAAATTTAAATCTTTGGACATGTTTCATCGTATAACATGTCACTTTTGCAAATAATGACAGGAAAGTGCCGCAGACACCTGACCAGTGCCACGTAGAGTTCTAATACACCCATTTTTACATTTTTCTTACTGTAATTTCCCTTATTTTACACTGTAAAACCCAGCTCACTCACTACTTTCCTCAATTGAAATTTGATACTCAACTGATCTTTCTTCCCCCCGAATTCTTGTGATTGAAGAAACAAAAAAGAAAGTGTATATAATTTTCCCTCGTTATTCTTGGTTAATAAATTGAAGTAAATTTTTGGAAATTGAATTTTCGAACGCAGTGAAAACGAAAAATTGGGAAATACAAACTGACCCGACCGGCATAGAAGAGCTTGCTCAAACGCACTTGATTCCCCACCGTGACTGGAGAGATTTTGGTGGACGGGAAGATGGCTGTGTCCTGAAAGGAATTACTATGCAATAAAAAAATTTTTCATGCATAATATCAGTATGTCGGGAAAATAATGAGCATCCTGTCGCTTGGAAAATCGCCGCCGAGAAAATTAATTGTGTCGCGGCAAAATCAAATTGGTTTTCACTTCAGCGACACAATTGGCGGGAAAATATTGTGCTCATTATTTTCCCGACAGACGGATAAGTATAACCAATAAATTTTTTGGTCCCTCCGCCACTGTAGAAAAAGAGGCCAAAAAGGCAAGAAATCGCGAACTTACATCCGAACTTGGCACTCTTTCCGCATGGATTTTCGGATGCCTCACCGGCCTTCCCAATAAATCGATCTGTCTCCAATTGCGGTAATCAAAGAATGCCGGAGCCGGCTCTTTCTTTACAATCGCATCTTCAACTCCATAATTCTTGTCGCATTGCCAAGACCCTTTTTTGTCTCCAATGGAGGCTTTGGAGCCAAAATAAATGACTCCATTTTCTTGGAAATAGATGGAACTGGCCTGGAATAGAAAGTATTTGAGGAGTGGTCGTATTTTAAAATTTAAAATTTTCTGGGCTATGAATTTCTGTACAACTATTAGGTTGATGCAAAAGGAATTGCGGATTTTTTAATTTATTCGTATTTTTTCATAGGATAGCTCAATTCAAAAATGGAAAAAGGTATATAGTAGTAAATTTTAAGAGGATTTTTCTGTATATGTGCTATTCTTATAAAAGTTATCAAACGTTACCATAAGTTACCACGAAAGTACCCTAAACATGTTAGTATATTTTAAACCAATTTTTTTACATATTGTTTTGCGGCTTTATCCATTTTCGAAAATATTTTGATAAAATACGTTATATTCTATCAAAAAACAAAAAAACCCCATTTTTGGCAAAGCGTTAAAACGCTATCCCAAAAATTCAAATTTCAGCAAATTTTACAAATCGTGTCATATCTTTTTTTAAATAAGTCCAAAATAAAAAATTCTTTTTGCTTTCGATTAGTAACAACATTTTTAAGGCTTTCGTGAAAAAAAGGCATCAAAATCTTGAATTTTATTTTTTGGTCAAAAAATGTCAAAAAATAAATTTTTTTGATTTTGATGTTTTTTGTCACAAAAATCTTAAAAATGTTGTTACTAATCGAAATCAAAAAGAATTTTTTATTTTGGACTTATTAAAAAAAAAGATATGACATGATTTGTAAAATTTGCTGAAATTTGAATTTTTGGGATAGCGTTTTAACGCTTTGCCAAAAATGGGGTTTTTTTTGTTTTTTGATAGAATATAACGTATTTTATCAAAATATTTTCGAAAATGGATAAAGCCGCAAAACAATATGTAAAAAATTGGTTTAAAATATACTAACATGTTTAGGGTACTTTCGTGGTAACTTATGGTAACGTTTGATAACTTTTATAAGAATAGCACATATACAGAAAAGATCCTCTTAAAATTTACTACTATATACCTTTTTCCATTTTTGAATTGAGCTATCCTATGAAAAAATACGAATAAATTAAAAAATCCGCAATTCCTTTTGCATCAACCTAATAGATCGGCCCGTCGGAAAAATAATGAGCGCTATGGCGTCGCTGAAATGAAAAGCAATTAGATTTTATCGCGACACAATTCATTTTTTCGGCGGCGATGCGATTTTGAATGCGACTGATTATTTTCCCGACAGACTAATATAACAAGAAATTTCAGAAGTCCGAGAAACAATTTTCGGTCAAAATGCACCTTCGTGTAACTATTCGCGCCTTCTATCTGTCTGTCGGGAAAATAATGTGGATTTGTCGCGCTTTGGAATCGTCCATTATCGCTTTGCGACGGCTAGCTCGGAATTTGTTGCGCGACTGCGACGAGGCAAGACATTGTTCTACGACAAATCCACATTATTTTCCCGACAGACTGATATACATAACTAACAAACTTTTACTCCTTTCAATTCGATGTAGTATATTTAGGATAGATTGAATCAAACATGTCCTTAATTATCAGGAAACTCAATACGGTACACCCGAAGTACCCAAATTTTAGGAAAAACTAAAATCCCCGCCAATCAAGTCAAATATTAGCCTGCCGGGAAAATACTGAGCACTCTCTGTTTCATAAAAAATAACATCGCTGCCAAGAAAATGAACTGTGCCGCGTCAAAATCAAATTGCTTTTCACTTCAACGACGAGACTGCGAAAACTTGCTCATTATTTTCCCGGCAGACTGATATTTGTTCTTTACACACTAATTCCATTTTCTTACATCGAGATCATCGTCCAAGAGCAACACAGTTGGGTCATCTCCAGTCTCCACCAAGATATTGTCGTCCTCGCAAGGAATTCGCCCATCCAAATAACGATCTTGATCTTTTAGCGACCGCCCCTTATTCCAGGTGAAAGAATCGGCATTTACAACTGCAGTAGTGGCCACAATCAAGAGTAAAAAGCGTAGAAATATTTGAGGATTGCTCATCACTGGCCAAACAATATCACACAAAAAAATCCGATCGGCTCAATTGATTTGTTTTGGTTTGTTTATCGGGAGGTCAATGCATTTAGCTGGGTGGTTTCAAATGGCCGTAAAATATTATACATTGAAGGCATATGGGGTTGTATTTCTTAATTTGTGAACGATACATTGCAATAGTAACTTGTCAATAAATGTCTGTAGTTCTCTTTGATTTACTTGTAATTTGAGTCAACCGTCTTTTATTGTGTTTCCTGAAATTCAGCGAAAAGTTTTTGTCGATTTCTTGGCACTCATTCAAAATATCCAAAAAAAATATTTTTGCAGGAAATAGAAGAAGATGGACGGTTTTTTTGACTATGAAAATCATTTTCTTCACCAACGCGGAAAGCAGTGTATTCGGCGGAGACTTTTGGGGACTTTTTTAACTTGGTACGAATAATTTCATAAAGAGACTATTAGCTCACGCCTTGCAGAAACTACTGAGCTGTTCAGATCAAAAGTTGGCGGAGATGTGACACTTTTTTGCAAATTTTGGCATGAAAATTTTCACGGCAATTTTGGAGCATCATATTATAATTTATAGCCAACTGCAGCCTTGGTTAATGATCAAAAGCAATGTATTTTATTCCATGGCTCACACTGCAATGTGATATGTTCATCAAGTGTTGCAAAGTTGTCCCTGACTCGTGTATACACAATCGGCCTGTAGCCCTACAGCCCTAGTTGGCTTTAAATCTATTTGCCTGGAGCGCCACAGCCGTATCTGTGAAAACGGTTGCAACAAAGCCATGAAATTTCCTCGTTTATGCATAAAATAAGAATACAGTAGGAAGGTCGCACACACCTCTAACACTCTACTGGATCGCTCAAAGTCCAAAACCTGCATCAAACGCCCTCAAACGCAAATAATACAAAGTTTGCAGACAGTGCGGCTAAGAATACGATTCGAGCTCAATGCTCCGGTCAGGGTCCAAAAACATGCGGCTACTGTTTGCTATACCATATTTTGCTATTCAACGCGCATTAGTTGGAGGCTTTCAAGTCTGATCTAAATTTTGTATGATGCTAAAATTGGTATTCTTGACTCTATTCTTTGTCAGCCTAAATTTGGCGGCTGGAAATTCGGCAAGTCTTAAAAATAAAGGCAAGTTTTGGTGTGGTAAATACATGGTCTATCTACAATGGCATGGTGTAATACCTCATTCTCAATTTTTCAGGAACCCAAGCCTTTGACTGGCCGGAGGCTGGACCCCTCTACATTGCATCGGGATACAAAAAACGATGGGTAAAGTACAGGGCCCACATTTTCGGCTGGCCTCAAACTGGACCATTTTATATCCCTGAGAAAACCTTTGAAATTCTTGAGAATCCGCAACGAAATTGATTGAAATTTTATGTAACATGTCTGTTACGTATTATGTTCAAAAAGAAGTGTGTTTTTCAAAAAATAAACCTTTCATTCAGCGGCCGTCTGTTCAGATGTTCATGTACAATATAACTGGGAAAAATAAATAATTCTCCGGTCAAAAATTTGTCAAATAAAGGCTAGTGATACTATCTTAAATTTTTCATTCCACGGGTTTGTCTTTTGAAACGCAATTTCCCTGGTTTTTGGCAAATCGAAACAATTCTTGGCATAATGTTGCAAGTGGGGTTTGTTGCGAAAAGTTGGCGACTTTTGCGGTTTCCTAGAAAAATTGAATGGGTCTTTCAGGTTTTACTAGATTTATTAGGTGTTTTTTCAGTCATTGTATCTATCTAGGCATAGCTATTTTTATTTTGGGATTGATTTTTCGAAAAATTTATTTTTGGCCTAATGGATAATATAATTTATCGATTTCCTATGGATTTTCTTTGCCTTTAAAGAGCAAGACTTTAGCGCAAATGTCGTCGTGGACTGTGTGATGTGTGAAGCAAGCTTTGCGGTTATTTACCGGGTTTTTTTAGTATTATTGAAACATTTTTGAGCTTTTAGGTATCTATCAAACTTTGATGGAAACCGAGGACATATTGAATTCCGCCTTCTGCGACGATGAACGGGAAGAACAACTGAGTCAATGGCAGGTGGAAAATAAGAATGTCGGACGCAAAATTGATGTAATTCTTTTCATTTTGTGAGAGTTCTCTTTTTAGGTAACATTGTTCAAAATAAGGTCTGTATTCAAGCTACACAGCTTAGGTCTGCTCTCATTGTCTGAAATGGCAATATATTTACTAGAACTAGGCCCATTCTTGGGGACTTTTTTTGAATTTTTGCTTTTGGAAGTTATTTGTTGCCTAAAATAAGGTAAAACGAGTGAATCTTAAGTTGTTTTTGCAGTCAGATGTTATGAAACTTTGCCTATATGCCGGGAATGAAGTATTGATCGCATTGAAGAACTGATTGCGCAAAAAAAAAGATAACTTTGTTGTGATGGAATTTTTTTGGCTGGAATGTTTATTTTTCCCAAAAAATTTCCCGAATGGGTTTGAATTGTTCCAAATTTATTGAATTACCTATACAATTCTATATTTCAACTTATTTACACTTTTTTTCTATTATTTTTCCAATTTTCAGACTCTAGTTTCAATCAATTTCACCTTCACCACGCCTATTACCCGACACGATCCAAAACCCCTCCAAGTTCAATGCAAGAACGGGACCAAGCTGTACAAAGTCCTCCACATGATCTACAACGTTCATCCTCCCTACAACTGCCGATACTTTGTTCATTCGATCACCTTGAAACGAGGAAATCAAGCGCCGAAGCAGATTGATTGGAAGAAACAGCATGTTTTCGACAATGATCACTTTGATGTGGTTGTAAGAAAGTCGAGAAAACCGAGGGTGGATCTGAACGCTGTTCAGGAAGACATTTCCGACCTGTTTCATGTCAGTTTAGATTTGGAACAAGATGAATAAGGTGAATATTTTTTGATTTTTTTCTATTTTTTGTGATTTTTTGGGAGTTTATTATAAAACAAAGAAAGTAGTTTGGATTGGGATAGAAAATTTTATTTTTTTTTTATTTTTTGAAAAATTTTGCCTTGTAAAATCTTTATGAATAGGTTTGGAATGTAGTTTAGATTCCTCTGGGGTTACAGTGGCACTCGCCGTCGGCACAATAACCTCCACGATAGCCGTTTTGAATACAAGTGTCCTCACAAACCAGCGGTATGCAAAATCCACAGGCTTCTAAAAAAATAAAAAAAGATCGAGATAATTGAAAATTTTGGGAATAAAAAAAGTCAAAGTTTACCTTGCGTAAGAACGGCGAGTAGCATGGTAACGAGGAAAAAAAGAAGGTAGAAACGCATTTTTTTAATTTTTTTGATCTCAATTTTTGACTTTTCAATAGTGATTGGCTTTTATATTGCGGTCATTAGAGGCCATTTGATTTGCATTTTTGTCTGATGACTTTGAAATGTGTGAAAATTAAAACAATCAGTGTTAATGAAAGAATTAATAACCCGCAGGTGGAATGCACTCTAAGGACATCAAAATTTACAGCAATAAAAGGGAAACAAGCAGGTTAAACTGTCGAAAACCAAGTGCAACTGTAATGGAAGGAGATTTATAAAGATGTGTTACATTATTTCGATTGAAATTAGGTTGGAAACGGACTAGAACTTTCTTAAAGTTTTGCGGAAGATCTGGAATATGATAGGCGCTTTTGACGAGTGGATCTTATCCCGAACTGTACGGACTAAAAACTTCTATTAGAGCCTTTCACAGTCCCAGGACAAAATCATGTAGCAAAAAACATCCAATTGCCTCCTCGATGCAATTTATTGCATTCCTTCTCTGACCGAAAATAGTTTGTTTTGAAGAGGCGGCAAGCATTTGCCTTATTGGAAGGATACCAAAAAATACATCGCCTCCCTCCAACAAAGACATCTCTCTTATAAGGGAATGGTCTGAACCTTCCCGCAGCGTTTGGAAGGATTACTAGTACAGGTGGATAGAGCATTCCAACTTTGGTAAAAAGAGTAATTTTCATGCTCTATCCACCTGTACTAGTCATTTTCCCAAACGCTGAGGGAATTTGAGACCATTCCCTTATAACAGAGAAGTCTTTGTTGGAGGAAGGTGATGCATTTTTTGGCTTCCTTCCAATAAGACAAATGCTTGCCGCCTCTTCAAAACAAACTATTTTCGGTCAGAGAAGGTATGCAATAAATTGCATCAAGGAGGCAATTGGATGTTTTTTGCTACATGATTTTGTCCTGGGACTGTGAAAGGCGCTAATACAGGCTTTCAATCCATACATTTCTGGATAAGATTCAGTCGTCAAAAGCGCATATCATGTTCTAAATCTTCCGCAAAACTTTGAGAAAATTCTAGTCCGTTTCAAAGCTAATTTCAATTGAAAGTGTGTAACACATCTTTATAAATCTTCTTCCATCACAGTTGCACTTGGTTTCCGACAGTTTAACCTACTTGTTTCCCTTTTATTGCTGTAAAATTTGCTGTCCTCAGAGTACAATCCACCCCCCAGAGTTATGGGTTTTTAAACTTCAAAGACCTTTCGATTCGAAGGAGGAGTGGTCATTCCGTCGGCGGAAAGTCTTCTTTCTCATTCCATTGAGACGTCGATCTCCTTTCGTCCGAACTTCCGGCGCTGATCCCATTTTTGTCCGTCAAAAACATGAGAGTTTCCGCTGCGATTTTCGCTGCTCTTCTTGTAGCTTGTAAGTTCTGGTAGTAATTTAATGGAAATTGGGTCTTTGAAGTTATTTTTGGCTTTATTTTGCAATAAAAATAAAAATTTTTGTCTCAAAAATAGGAAGAGGTATGATTACAGGCGCCTCGGCCGATTCCTCCTTCTTCTTCAACACCGGAGTGCAACTTAACGCCGGTCAAACCAACACTCCCGACCGTCTCGAGCAAGAGCTCATCAAAGCCGGCTTCGATTTGAAGGTGAATCCGTTGGAAAAGCTGGCTTTCGCCGGAGAAAGAGATCAAATCTGCGCCATTTATCAGCAGGAAAAGTTTGCCTCCAAGAACATTGCCCTCAGAGCTTTCTTGAGAATTGCCTGCGAACTGAAGTATGAAGGTGAGGCGGAGAAAACATTGTTGGTTTTTTGGGCCGATTGTGGGGCTTTCAAACTTTGTTTACGATCGCAAAGTTCAGCTGCGAAACTGGTTAGAAAAACTGAAGACCACCGACGTCTTTTTATATCTTCACGTTCAAAATCCTTTCCGACAGAGCTTGTTTTGACGTTCTGCGTCGATTTCTAATAGCTTTATAGATTCCTCATTTATCAGACATATGAATTCTAAGATTTAGTAAAAAGAGGGCACCTAACGAAGAGATCATCTGGGCAAAGAGTTCACCTGGGCGAAGACAGAACCTTGAGGAAAAAATGATATGGTAAGGGGGCCCAAGACAGATTTTTTAGAATAATTTTTTTTTGGATTGCCAAGAAAATGATACGGTAAGGAGGGACCAAAGCGGAGTGTTTAAGAATAATTACAATCCGCTTTAGTCCCCCCTTACCATATCATTTTTTTGACAAACCAAAAAAATTATTCTAAAAAATCTTTCTTGGACCCCCTTACCATATCATTTTTTCATCAAGGTTCTCTCTTCGCTCAGGTGCCCTCTTTGTCCAGATAACCTCTTCGTTAGGTGCCCTCTTCTTAGCAAATCTTGGAATTCATATGTTTGACAGATGAGGAATCTACAATGAGGGACCGGATCCAGTGGCAAAAACTGCATCATTTTGCATCCGGGAAGTATCAAAAATACGGCAAAATGCCTCCCTCTCAAACTAAAAATACTCCGTTTTGGACTGCGCGCCCTTTCTCTCACACAAAGAGTGGAGGCGCAATTGAAATCGGAGATTTTTCACTTGGAGAGGGAAGCATTTTGCCACATTTTTGATACTTCCCGGATGCAAAATGACACGTTTTTTGCCACTGTATAGGGTCCCACTGTGTAAAGCTATTAGAAATCGACGTAGAACGTCAAAATAAGCTCTATCAGAAAGAATTTTGAATCTCGTCAGATCCGACCAAATTCCACTCATAATTTACAATGACGTCATCAGCAAAAAATGAATGAAAATTTCAGCGCTGACACAGTTCTCGGAATGCATCCAAGGCATGGAAGAGACCCTCGAGCCGCAATGTGAACGCTACTGCACACGCAAATTTGCCATCGCTTCGCTTCAAGGGCGATGCGACGCATTGGCTTGCACCTCGAACTGTGTGGACACTCAGCTCAAGGAGTGTGGATTTGAAACCGCTGATGAGTCGTTGAACACCTTGTATTCGGAGCTTCTGGGAGCACAAATCGCGTGGAGCTGGGGATTGGCAACTGTCGAGGAGGTGCAAAAAACTGCAGAGACTGGACCAGCATCATGCAAAAAGTTGATCAACTTGTCGCGTACGTTGTTTTGAGCTTTCGAGATTTTTTTTTTCGAAAACTTTTCGAGAACCTTCTTTTTTGTAGACTTTTGCACAGAAAAACAGGTTAAATATCAGTTCGGATTAGTCAACTACTCGTAATTTTACAGTAAAGAATGCCTGCTTCGCACAGGAAACGACCTTACTCGCCTAGTAAAGAATTCAAGGGCAACCTTGTGTCATTTCCGGGAGCCCTGTTTTGCTATAACTTTGTGGTTAAAGAGTCGATTTTAAGCAATCAATCATCTCTTAAAAGGTATGATTGATTGCAATAGGAATACCGGACAGTAGTTTGTGGCGGGCCCACATTTGCAGGCAGCTAAAGGTTCAAAAAAAATTTTTTGAAAACAAACTCCCATAACTTTGAAAGCGGTGGAAGAATTCAATAGATTCGTTAACTTGTCAGTACCAGGGAATTGACAATGCAAAATATCTAACATACTACTGTGAGGGACCTGGTCCAATGGCAAAAAACGTCTCCTTTTGCATCCCGGAAGGGACCAAAATGACTCCAAACCCTTCCCTTCTCTAAGCTAAAAAACTCCGCTTTGAAAAGCGCGCCCTTTCCTTCAAGGCGGGCTCTTCAAATATGCTAGTGTCTGGTTCTACTAGCGGGGTTTTTTTTAGCTTAGAGAAGGGAAGGGTTTGGAGACAGTTTGGTCCCTTCCGGGATGAAAAATGAGACGTTTTTTGCCACTGGATCCGGTCCCTCACCGTATGTTGATTAGGGTAGCAAAATCGAAATTCTAATCGGTAGATGCCCGCAAGGATGGTTGCCCGCAAGAGTCACGACGCTGTACAGTGACGGACCCGATCCAGTGGCAAAAAACGTAAAATTTTGCATCCGGGAAGCATCAAAAATGTGGCAAAATACCTCCCTCTCCAAGTAAAAAACTTCGTTTTGAAGGCGCCCTTCCCTCACAAAAAGAGCGGACGCGCTTTTGAAATCGGAGTCTTTTCACTTGGAGAGGGAAGCATTTTGCCACGTTTTTGATACTTCCCGCATGCAAAATGCCACGTTTTTTGCCACTGGATCGGTTCCGTCACTGTAGTTTGTAACCTCTTGGTCCATGAAATGAGCTTTTTAATAGACTAAACTATCTTACAAAGAGCTTTTCAGTGAATGCCCTGGATTCCGTCGAAATCATGGCCAAAGTCTCGAAGAACAGATTCAGCAAATAAACAGGACGTGAGATTTTAAATAGAAAGGATTTGAAGTCTTCTGTGATATGACGTTTTTTTGGTTACAAAGAGTTTGAATAAATTATTGACTGTATGTAAAAAGCGGGAAAGAAGTTGATTGGGATTAACAGGAGAATTGATCCAAGTGCCACGCTCAGATTTAGATGAAAGTTGGCACAAATTTAGCCTATTTTTTCCAAGCCATATGCAAGAGTTCTAGCTCGCATCTTGCAAAGACGACCGAGATTTTAAAGTCGAAAGTTGGCGGAAAAGTGACATTGTTTTGCGAATTTTGATACGAAAAATTTGATAACTATGGCTATTGTAGAGAGTAACGTTTCCACAAAAAAATTCTCTCCGTGAAGCTGGCGGGATACATATGGCCAAAAAGTGATCTTTTTCTGGCCTCTCTACGCGTTTCTCATACTCTCTCGGCCGCGAAAATTTTGGAATACCCCGGCTGCGCCTGCAAGTTGCGAGCTCAAACTCTCAGAAGTTGATATCCAACGCATGGTCCATCTGCGAGCAAAATTTAGAGAAAATTTTGAGGGCCTCACTTGGGACCCTTGCAAAAAAGCGTTCATTGGAAACTGGTTATGATTTTGTTGCAACATCTTAAAAATGTATACATCTATGATAACACAACACTCTCCTAATCTAAAAAAGGTCGTAAAATCATCCTGGTATTTACCAGGGGCCAATTCGCTAACTGAAACTTGGCTGAAAATGGTAGGGCACAGCTGGGAAAACTTGCACGGTCGAAGCTTGCATCTCGGGGAAGCTAGGAAACCAAGCGCCGGAGCAAAGTTTCAGCTTGCCTTCGAGCTGCTTCTGCGCCCATGCAAGTTTTCCGAACTGCGCCCTACCATTTTCAGCCAACTTTCAGCCAAGTTTCAGAGCATTGGCCCTAAGTTTCAAAAAAAAAGAATAAAAAAAAGTAAAAATCGTTGACCGAAAACTTTGTGATTATCGAATTTTTTGTCAAATTTGCATAATTCGACCTCACAAAACGAAACAATTTCGAAAATTCATTTTCATTTCTTCCGTTACTCCAAGCTTCCTTCATTTCAATTTTTCCGAATCGGTTGAATGGCGTCGACGGACAGAACCGCCGAAGAGCCGTCCGAGGCATTGGCCGGAGAGGTCTATCCGATTGGCCGTCATGCTCTGGATGATCCGAACCTTTTCGACGTCAAAACGGAGCCCTACGAGCCCGAAGAGAACCCGCTTCCCAAGTCGGACGAGGGCTTCAGTTGCGATGAGGTGCGGAAAACTTGATCGGAATATTTTTCGTTTAGCTCTCCGACATCACCGAAGAATTCGATCGCGTCCGCTCTGTGGGTACCAGCCAGCTTTCAGGCTTATGGCACAGCCAACTCCGCCCACTTTTCCAACATCCGCACATGAAGTATGTGGCGTTGGCCAATTTGATCCTTTTCTTGGTTGTGGTCTTTCTGCTGGCACTTATGGTCGCGTTGGCCATTGTCGCGGCGGTTTTCCATTATGAGGTGAGAGCGGGAAAGATTTTAGCGGTTTCTGGAATGCACAGTGCAATATTTATGAAACTCTCGGTCTGCACTGTGCGGAAGTTTAAAAAATCTGATTTTTTTCATCTCATAGGAGATTTTTTTTCAAATTACCGTGCTGTAGCAATTTTCTAGGGCAAATTGTCTTAATCGCACAGTGCGAAACTAAAATTTCTCCGCACAGTGCAACGAAACTTCAATTTGATTTTATTTTGCACAGTGCAGAACTTATGAAACTTTCGGTCTGCACGGTGCGGAAATTAAAAAAATCTGATTTTTCTCACCTCATAGGAGATTTTTTTTCAAATTATCGTGCTGTAGCAATTTTCTAGGGCAAATTGCTTTAATCGCACAGTGCGAAACTAAAATTTCTCCGCACAGTGCAACGAAACTTCAATTTTGTTTTATTTTGCACTGTGCAGAATTTTGTGAAACTTTCGGTCTGCACTGTGCAACAAAAATCGATTTTCTTTTATCTTGCACTGTGCAAAATAAAAATTTTTTTTCCGATTCTGGCTCAGAAATTTTTTATATTTACAGGGTGCGCCAATAAAATCTGGACTAATATTTTTGCTTGTCCTGCGGGCTGTTACAGTACGAGAACAACGTGGGCCGTTGTGGACGCGTATAATACGTCCAAGAAGCTATCTTTAAAGTTTCAGACAAAATAATAGTCTACGACACTTGTTTTGCCATTATAAGTGCTTACAACTAAGGCGCCCGAAACACGGACCCCAAATTGGTCAAAAAATGGTTGAGCTATCTTTACCGTTTTATGCTATGGGCTGAAATTTACTTTTTCTGTTAGAGCTCTGGTCGGTTTTTATACACAGAAATTGATTTTGCCTAATTACAATTATTAGGCTTTTTACAGCTTATCAAAGATGCCTTAAAAACGGGCCGTTTTCCCAGAAAACTTCCGTTAAATCAAAGATTTTTATGTAGAAGTTTCCCTGTGTGATTCCAAACATGTTAAGAAGCAGAACTACTTTTGTAAGAATAACCAGAGCCTGCCTGGTCGCCTTTCAAAATGGATTTTTCTATCTGCTGCCTCTGGGGATGAAATAGTGACTGTAGTGGCATAATTTACTACATGCTCGCTATTCGAGTGATCTTGGACTAGATATTTCTAAAAGTGTTTTGGCTACATCAGCATGTATCCAGTATACAACTCTGTGTTGTTTTTTACGCTCAAGGCTTTTCGCACTTGTTACAAACTGCCAAAACGTTTCAAGTTCCGAATGACCGTGCCTTGAGTTCCCCCCATGAACTTTTATTTATACAGAAACGGTCCACTTGTATATGCGGACTTGCTTTTACACAATAACAATTGGCTAAGTATACACTCTGTAATCACGGAATTTTGGAGCTTCACGAGCAATAATCTGGCGTTCAGATCCTTAAAAACAGAAAAATCCAAATTTTTGGGCCTTTTCCTGTTTCCGCCACCAGCGTCGCCTGACCGGCCGCCAACTATGATTCCGTAGGCTGTTACAAAGTTAACAGCACGTACTTTTATATATATAAATTTGAAGAACGTCAGTCCCCCTTAGCAGAAATAATGGAAGAATTAATATCCCAGTCATCATCTGCAAAAAAAAATTTCTGCACCTCCAAAAAGTTTTGATGATTTTTTCAGTCTTACAATAGGCATTGATCTGGACATTACCGATGATGTATAGCACGGTTGTTACCCTTTCTAAAAGTGCTAAAAGTTTCCATTCTTAGGCCATCCGAAAAAAGCTATATGGAATTTAGTTTTGTCCAGATTTTATTGGCGCACCCTGTAATTTGAGTGTCATATAAACTGTAATTACAATTAATTTCAGGCGCTTGTCAACAACGAATCCGAAATTCCATGTGTTTACGAATGGATGGAATGGAGTCAGTGCTCGGCGACCTGCCGAACCCCTGACCAACCCGTGCCCACCAAGAGTCGGAGTGTGGATCCGAAATCGATTATCAGGGCTAGAGGACGTATGTATCAGACTGCACCGTGCCCAGAACGAGTTTCACAGCTGACGGTACAGTTTGAGGGGCTTTTTATTGATTCTATTTTTCAGGACAGCGCTCCGTGTAACACGCATTGGTGCCCGATAAAACTGAGCACTCTCAAATTCAAGGAATGTAAATATTCGGTTCGCCATAACAAAAACATTCGATTGAGGGATATCCCGATGGAAGATCAATTGGTAAGTCATCAAAATTTTTGGCGCTACGGTTTTTTGGGTCAACGATGCTATGGATGTCCTTAGTTCGTCTTTGTATGCAGGGCGGAGACTAGGAGAAGGCCTAGTTAGTAGAAATAATAAGATTGATTATGTCCTAGTATAGCTTGTGGTAAAAGTTCCTTATTTTGGCCACAACTTATAACTTTGCGGAGACTTGTCGGAATTAGCCCAAAGATCGCGGAGTACCTTTGTTGTGGCCAAAATAAGGAACTTTTTCCTAGCTTATCATCTATTACGGGGTATTTTGTATTTACTAACATCAATACAGAGGGAGACGTGATCTAGTGACAAATGGCAAAATGCTTCCCTCTCCAAGCGAAAAAAACTTTGTTTTGAAGCTTTCCCGGTTATTTTTTATTCATTTCCTATACTATCTTTGATTATTCAGTAACAGAAAAATTTAATACAGCGGGGGACCTAATCTAGTGGCAAAAACGTATCATTTTGCATCGGGGAAGTATCAAAAATGTGGCAAAATGCTTCTCTCTCCAAGTGAAAAAACTTCGTTTTGAAGGGCGTGCTCTTTTCCCTCACAGAAAGAGCGGGCGCGCTTTTCAAATCTGAATCTTTTTACTTGGGGAGAGAGGTATTTTGCCACATTTTTTGATGCTTCTTGGATGCAAAATGGTACATTTCTTGCTACTGGATCAGGCCCCCCAGTGTAATATCTAGATAAAAGTTGCGGCTCTCAAATTTTGGTCTTTTATTATATTTATACGTTACAATAACTCAGGGTAAAAAAAACTAAGTTAGCCCCCCTTCGCCGGGCGTCCGCCGAGCATTCAGCGGCTTTTCCAGGCCTCGTAGGCACTCGTAGGCACTTCCTATTACATTTTTTGGATATCCACCTGCTCTACGCCTCGTATCGATCGATTTTATCTTGTCCCGAAAAATCGGGACCCGAAATTGAAAATTTAACAAATTTTAATTTTTTTTTTAAATTTAAAATTTTTTTTTTTATTTTTCAGATTGAACTGGACGAAGAGCGAATTTACAGGGAGTGTTAAACCATAGTATTGTATTTATTTTTGAATAAATTACTTTAATTTTGAAACTTTGGAAACTTGAAAAAAATCAAAATAAACAATATTGCTTTCAATTTTATGAATGAATAACGTATCCTAAGCGCAAATCCACACCGCGTATTATGTCTTTTTGATATATCTCGAGAATAAACAAGCAGAGAACGAGTGGTTTTCGCGTAGGGGACGGATGGAACGCTCCTCACTCATAATTCCCAAGGCCCTTGGGACTTGCTCGCAAGATCTTCGTTTTTGTTGCTTTTTTTATTCTTACAATCTTTTACAGAGGTCTCTTGTACATTTACAAGTGATTTTAAAAGTTTATTTGAAGTAAAAAAGTTGCCGAAAATTTATGGTTTTTTTCTAGTGCATTTTGCACTACAAATCTTTCATATTTTTTCGGAAATTTTTGAGAAATTTTTAAATGACGTCATTTTAAAGCTAGACATATATTTTTTTTTAATTGTAAAATAGGGTGTTACTGACTTGGTAAATACCGAAAAATGTCAATATCGTTCAAGAAAGCCTAGAAAATCCAAGATTTTGATATTACTTTAGGTAATGTGGGGAGTCCGTCTAGGAAATCAACAGACAGGCCCTCAATTTGTCCAACCACTGCCTGGAAATGTTGGGGAAATTGAAGAGAACACTGCGTTGCATCTAGAATGTAAAGTCGAGCCATTCCACGACGATTCTTTGCAAATTTTTTGGCTTCACAACGGAAGACCGCTAAATCATGGTGGGTAAAATACGAGGTCCTTTTTTATGGTCGTAAAATAATTTTAGGCCATCGGTTTCGGACTTTTCATGATTTCGGCTTAGTGACGTTGGATATTCTCCATGTTTATGCCGAGGACAGTGGGACGTTCACGTGTGTGGCGGAGAATTCGAATGGCCGAGCCGAGACTTCGACCGATTTTTATTGTCATCGTAAGTGAGGCGAGAAAGCTATACGCGGAAATATTTATAACGAGATTTTTTAACTGCTTTTTTCGTTCCAGCCAAGGACTCAATCATGGATCAAACACAACTTCCGACGAGTGTAGCGAGGATTCAGGAGCTTGAAGCGCCCAAAGGCCCAATGCAGGAAGAGGAGCCGGAGATTGTTTATAATCCAGCCAATTTCATCAAGCCACTCCAAGGCTCGATTCAAGCGAATGAAGGGGAAAGCGTGTTTTTGGAGGCAAAAGCCGGCCCAGTCGAGGATAACACTTTGGCTGTAAGTGGCAAAGAGCATTCGGCGTATTTTAAACTAGGAGGGCAGTTACTCCAAATGCGACGCTCGGATTTCGATGAAACGTGGCGCTAATTTCGAATGACTATTTTCTAAAGCAGCGGATCTGATCCACTGCCAAAAACGTACCATTTTGAAGTATCAGAAATGTGGCAAAATGCTTCCCTCTTCAAGTGAAAAAACTTCGTTTTGAAGGGCTTCCCTCACAAAAAGAGCGGGCACGTTTTTTCGGAGACTTTTCACTTGGAGAGGGAGGCATTTTGCTACATTTCTTGATACTTTCCGGGTGCAAAATGGTAAGTTTTTTTTGCCACTGGATCAGGTCCGCCACTGTAAAACAAGCACGAGATATCTAGCTTGCGCTTTGCAGAAGCGACCGAGATTTTTAGGTCGAAAATCTGGAAATATGCGGCACTTTTTTGGCAAATTTTGGAATGAAAATTTTCATGCTTATTTCTACTGTAGACGCTAATATTTCCCACAAAAATACTTTGTTCCGCTCGAAACTGGCCAAGTTATGGTTTAAAACTGTTTTTCTCTGATCACTCTATGGGTTTCGCATAATCTTTTGGCCAAAAAGATCGTTGAATATCTCGGCTGCGCCTGCAAAATGCGAGCTAGAATTTTCATGTTTTGTTATGTGGCCTATAACCGTCATGTGTGCAAACTTTAAGGAAAATATAAGAGTTGCACTTGGGGTACTTTTGTTGTCAGAAAACTGTTGTCTAACTTTATTCCCGTCATGATTTATACATATATACATGAATCTTTTGAACTTTTTCCGAACCTTTCTTCCAGCACGAATGGTACTTCAACAACCGGCCCTTAATGCACGCTAATCGTTTCGTCACTGCTCAAGAATTTGGCGTCATCACCATGAACATCCTCTACTTGTATCCCGAGGACACTGGGACCTACACTTTGCTCATCCGAAACGCCACTGGCCAAGCGCAAAGTAGTGTTGATATTAAGGTCGCCGGAAATGGATCGATGTTTATCAACACGTTCCATCCGAAATCAGTCAATCGGATCAACGAATTGGAGGCGCCAAAGCCATTGCCAGAAGAGGTGCCGGAGGCGGAAAAGAAACAACCGGCGATTACCAAGAAACTGAACAGTGTTCCCGCTTGCAACGAGGGCGACTCGGCCCACTTTGAGGCCAAGTACACTCCAACTGATGACAATCAAGTCAGCGTAGAATGGCTTTTTAATGGACGGCCGATCAAGGTAGGAACTTGTACATAAAAAAGTGAATTTCTTGGAATGGAAAGGAGACTTGAAAAAAAGTGATGCAAAGGGAATAGAAAAAAATAGGACATCAAAAAATTTGGGGGCAAAAAATTTAAAAATTTAAATTTTCAAAAACTGATGTTCGGATTATGCCCAAATTTGGAATATATCATCTAAATGAACTTCAGATCAATCACTGAAATTTTCAGCTCAGGATTTACTTTCTTAGCCAAGATATTCAACAGACTTTTTTTCGAGACAGCACAGAAAATGAGGAGAGACGAACAGAAAAAAAAGTTTTGGCTTTATCCCTGCGAAATTTTCAAGAAAATTTTGATTTTGTAGTAAAAATATTACTTAACACTTTTAATTACAGTGCCGGACCTGATCCAGTGGCAAAAAACGTACCATTTGGCATCCAGGAAGCATCAAAAATCTGGCAAAATGCTTCCCTCTTCAAGTGAAAAAACTTCGTTTTGAAGGGCTTCCCTCACAAAAAGAGCGGGCGCACTTTTGAATTCGGAGTTTTTTTCACTTGGAGAGGGAAGCATTTTGCCACATTTTTGATACTTCCCTGATGCAAAATGATACGTTTTTTGCCACTGGATCAGGTCTTCAAGTCGGTCGTGGCGATGCGACTTTCAATGCGACATAGTGATCATTATTTTCCCAACAGACTTGATAGCAAAAGCATTTTTTTAACTGCGATTGCCCTATTTCGAGTAGCTGTTTTCCAATCAAGAAATCCTAATTTTTCAGCATTCAAACCGCCATCGGATGATCAATGATTTTGGCAATGTTTCGTTGGACATCAATTACTTGTTTATCGAAGATTCTGGAGAATACACTCTTATAGTCAAGAATAGGAAAGGCCAAGCTCAAACCTCAACCAAACTTCAAGTCAACGGCAGTGAGAGGATCTTGGACAACACTATGCATCCAAAGAGTTTGCCGAGGATCCAACAACTCGAAATGCCTCCACCTTTGCCAGAGGAAAAGCCGGAAAAGCCGGAGGAGCCTCCGAAATTCAAACGGGCTCTTCAGTTGGTGGTTACTTCACAGGTAAGTTGAGCATACCGAGGAATAAACAAGTTTAGTCAAGCAGAACGAGGTTTCAAATTGTGATTTCGGCGAGATGCACAGCAAGAAATCAATAGCTTGATTTTCACTGTGCAATTTTCAATATGCTTCTTTGAGCTCGCATCCTGACTTTCTCTGAACGGTAAAAAAGCCAAAAATTACGCCAGCGACTTTACCAATGGACTAATATCGGCGAAGGCACCCAAAAAACATATTTTTTCTTAATGTTCTCAAAGTTAACACGCGTTTTCTAACAAGCGAATGGTCCCATTTGCGACGCTCAGATTTTCTTCAAATTGTGACACTTCGGGCATAGACCACATATGAAGTCATGAAAATTTTAGCTCTTGCTTTGCAGGCGGAGATTACAAAAAAAAAATCGAGCAATTTACTGTAAAACCATTACTATATTTTCTCATGAAAAGTCTCATTTTTAAAATACGTCGGGTCAAGCATTTGCTTCCGATTAGAAATTTCCTTCTTCTCTTACAGGACGGAAATCGCTCTTCTCAAGCGATCCAAGAAGGAGATGACGTCAAAATCGACTGCACTGTTTCTCCAATTACTGACAATCAACTTCGCGTTGAATGGTACTTCAACGGGCAGCCGTTACTCCACAGCAACCGGATCAGAATCACCAATGACCTTGGCTATGTTGCGCTGCAGTTTCCGCATATTTGCGCTCGCGACAGTGGGAACTACATATGTCGGGCGATCAGCCCTTGCGGAAGTGCTGAAGCCAGCATCAGCGTGGACGTGAAGCCCGCGGCCAACATGCTGTTGGAGACTCAGCATGAGAAGTCGTGGAAAGAGATATTTGAGATGGAGAATCGAATCGTCGAAAGGCCGGAGACGCCTGAGGCCAAGTACGAGGCTCCTCGTTTCTCGCAGAACTTGAGCAACGTTGACAGTGCTGTTGAAGGCGATACAATTCGGCTGGAATGCCGGCTAAAGCCCGTTGACGACCCGAGTCTGGTTGTTTTTTGGACCTTCAACGGAAATCCGTTATTTGAAGCCAACAGATTCAGACATCATCAAAGCTTGGATCTAGTGGAGTTAGAGATTTCTAAAGCGGTGGCTGAAGACTCAGGGAGATATGAGTGTCATGCGACAAGTGCTAATGGACAAAGCTCAACAGGATGTGAGGTGAAAGTGAAGGCAACGGAGAGCTTGTTGTTGAAGTAAGTGGGAAATTTATGCTCGAAAAAAATGTTGTGGGATATTTTACATAGGCTGCGAACCAATTTTCAAAAGTTTTCGTTAGCGCTTTCAATAGGGAACTGGAGATATTGAACCACCTTTAGAGATCATAGAGAAGGAAGAGAGGCGGTTAGAGAAACTCAAAAAACAATTTATTTTTCAGCCCTATCTGCTGAATCTTTTGCAAATTGACGCCCATTACACGTCGATCCAGCAAATTTCCTGAGCCGTTTAGACGTTTCGTCAACGCACTATCGATTAACCCAAGGATTTTAGAAATCAAAATTTTTTCTGAAGAATCTTTGGAGGGGGAAATTGTTCTTGAAACGTCGAGAAAAATTTGGAACCATAATTTTTAACCAAAAATCAGAGAAGTTATGGTAGAAAAACTCCTTATTCGACGTACATTCTCAAAAAAAGATCGTTAAATGTCTCTACTGTCCATAAAAATCAAGCTAGAATTTACAGGAACTGGAGACCAGCTTAGATTGAGTGTGCAAAAATATTAAAAAAGAAAAAGTCTTGTGGCAACTTGTTTATGTATTATTTCAGCACCCAAAATGAGCGGACCTGGAGCAAAATCCAACAGCTCGAAATCACCGATGAGCTTCCCGAACCGCCCGAAAAGCCATTCTCCGCTCCAAAATTCTCTCAAAATCTTGAATCCGTCAAATTAAAAGAAGGTGAAACTATCCTTTTGTCTACTCGCATATCTCCCCACGACGATCCTAATCTCTCAATAGTCTGGCTAAAAGACGGTCAGCCCGTTTTCAGCAGTAATCGGGTCCACCAACTGTTCGAATTTGGCCTTGTAGGACTGGAAATTGTTCATTCCATCCAAAACGACGCTGGAAATTACACTGTTGTCGCGAAGAATGCCGCAGGACAAGTTCAATTGTCAGCCAAAGTGGAGGTTGAAGGGAATGAAAGCATCTTGGCGGACGTTCAACATGAATTGAGTTGGAGGAAAATTCGGGAATTAGAGGCGCCAAAAATGACGTTGGAAGAGATCCCGGAGAAAAAGCACAACCCTCCGCAATTCTGGAGCCAACTTCAGAGCATTAAAGACGCGGTGGAAGGCGAGACTGTCAAATTGGAAGCAAAAGTCAAGCCAATTGATGATCCCAACTTGGTTATTACATGGTATCATAATGATCAAGTTTTGGGAGCCAGTAATCGGTTTGTGACCAGGAATGAGTTTGGCCACATTTCGTTGGAGATTTTGTATGTTATGGAGCAGGTGAGGAAGAAATTTTGTTTATTACAAGATGTATGAGATCGACGTATTTTAAAATTAAGAAATTTTTTATTTTTATTAAAGCGGTAGTCCAACTACACTGCTCGACAAAATTATAAATGCACTTCTAAAATCACTGTAACTTTTGTGGTTTTCTGTAAAACTGTGCCATATTTGGCCCAAATGTGTACCAGTGTACTATAAATCTTGTGCCAAAAAATTATTTTGAAAAGTTTCCACAATTTGGAAAAAGGTTGAAAAAACCGAAATTTTGGAAATTTTCTTTGCGACAAAATTATAAATTCACGCAATATTTTGCAATTTTCTTGCCGTTGGCGCTGAAGCAAAGTAAGTTATTTGGCTTAGTGGTTTCCTTAGGTGTCCTTCTGGCATGCTACGAGAAAAAACAGTGACAGAATTTGAAAAAGGCGGAATTACGACCCTGAAACCGCAATGACCTCGGGTTTGCCAGATTTCGGCTCAGGTAGGCCGTTCAGCCGAAGTTGTGAAGAACTACTTGGCTCATCCGGAAGCCTTCAACACGTCTAAACGTTCTGGCAAAAAAGGTTTACCACCGCGGCAGAATTAAGGCAGAGAAATCCGCTGAGCTTCCAACTACACCATCTCTGGGTCTCATATAGAGCAAGAAAAAGGTCTCACTTGTAGCAGGATAGCTATGCTGAGAGCACTAAGACGCAGCGATGTCATCACTGGACATCATATGAAGTCGTGCCCCAAGTTGGCCCAGGTTCGGTTAGCGCGCGACTGAAACTGGCCAAGGTAATTTTGACAAAACAGGTTGAGTAGTCAAGGGTCAATTTCCCAGCGTTGCAGTACCGAATTCCTTGCAGATTGCATGGTTAGACGATGTCCCCGACGGTTTTCCACATAGGACATATCACTGTCATTACATCAGAAGAGAACCGCGTTACTTCTTGTGCCGTAATGTTGGAGGATCTGTTTTGTCAAAATTACCTTGGCCAGTTTCAGTCGCGCGCTAACCGAACCTGGGCCAACTTGGGGCACGACTTCATATGATGTCCAGTGATGACATCGCTGCGTCTTAGTGCCCTCAGCATAGCTATCCTGCTACAATTGAGTCCTTTTTCTTGCTCTATATGAGACCCAGAGATGGTGTAGTTGGAAGCTCAGCGGATTTCTCTGCCTTAATTCTGCCGCGGTGGTAAACCTTTTTTGCCAGAACGGTTAGACGTGTTGAAGGCTTCCGGATGAGCCAAGTAGTTCTTCACAACTTCGGCTGAACGGCCTACCTGAGCCGAAATCTGGCAAACCCGAGGTCATTGCGGTTTCAGGGTCGTAATTCCGCCTTTTTCAAATTCTGTCACTGTTTTTTCTCGTAGCATGCCAGAAGGACACCTAAGGAAACCACTAAGCCAAATAACTTACTTTGCTTCAGCACCAACGGCAAGAAAATTGCAAAATATTGCGTGAATTTATAATTTTGTCGCAAAGAAAATCTCCAAAATTTCGGTTTTTTCAACTTTTTTCCAAATTGTGGAAACTTTTCAAAACAATTTTTTGGCACAAGATTTATAGTACACTGGTACACATTGGGGCCGAATATGGCACAGTTTTATTGAAAACCACAAAAGTTACAGCGATTTTAAAAGTGTATTTATAATTTTGGCGAGCAGTGTATACTCCGCGTAAAAAGTTTTAACCCCCTCCTAACTTGGCCTAATGTATACCAGTTTGGACCAAATTTGGTATAGTGAGGGAACTGATCCAGTCGCAAAAAACGTAGCATTTTGCATCCGTGAAGTATAAAAAATGTGGCAAAATACCTCCATCACCAAGTGAAAAAACTCAGCTTTCAAAAACGCGCCCGCTCTTTTTGTGAGGGAAAGGGCGCGCCCTTCAAAACGAAGTTTTTTTTAATTGTAGAGAGAAGCATTTTGCCACATTTTTGATACTTCCCGGATGAAAAATGATACGTTTTTGCCACTGGATCACGTCTGTATTAAATTTTTCTGTTAGGGCGCGCCCCTTCAAACCGAAATTTTTTCACTTGGAGAGCAAAGCATTTTGCCATGTTTTTTATGCTTCCCAGATGCAAAATGGTGCGTTTTTTGCCATTGGATCAGGTCGCTCACAGTGTGTAGCCTACTCGCAGCCTAGTAACAAAAATAACGTTGCAGGACGATCCCTATAGTCGTATTTCAAAGCTCAGGGGCAATTTTCAAAAATTACCTTAAAAAATCGAGGAAAAAGTTTTGACCATCCATTAAAAAAAGTTAAATCTCGCTTGCGGATGCAGCCCAAACCTTCCGCAGTCTACGTCCCATACCTGAATACAGGTTAACAAACGGTTGTCCGTTGCATTCAACGCGTTAAACCACTCTTGACGTAGTGCTGTATAAAATGATAAAAATATTGCCCTAGCGCTTTCCCAGAGCTCTAAATTGTGTTTCAACTTGAAGCATTGCATTTAAAGAAATTGTAGCAACCCCGTATTTTACCCAAAACCCCCTATTTTCAGGACGCCGGAACTTATCGCTGCGTGGCCACAAATCAGCAGGGCCAAGCCTCATCCGAAGCCACGGTGGAATGCAAACTGAACCCCGCAATCTGGTCGCAAACTCAACATGAAAAGGCGCTGAAGAAGATTCAAGAATTGGAAGCGCCCAAGCCAGAGAAGCCGGAAATTGAGCCGGTTTATTTGGTGGCGCCCAAAAGAATGAACTGTTTTATGAGGAAGAATTATTAGTTCGGACGGATTTGTAATTGTTTGTGATGATTTTTTTTTTGTTTTTTTTTTTACTTTTTTTACTTTTTGACAGATTATAAACATGACAGATATGCGTATATACACACACAAAAACTAAGGTAATGATAAAGCCAAGTGTTTTTGAAAATTTCCATAAAATTTGTAGTTCAAGAAACGGAGCTACAAGCAAGCAAAGACCGATTTGAAGCTTTTTCGTGCAAAATTGTCGGAGCTATGGCCGGAAAGCGTTAATCTCCCCGCCCTTCCCTTTCTTCGCATTTTGCCCACTATCTTGTCAAAAATAAGTGTTAAACGGGAGCTATGTACTGAATAACCGGAATAATGATAAGGCCAAGAGTTTCTAAAAAGATTTCTGGGACTTGCAGTTCAAAAGCAAAAAAAAATTTTTTTTAATGAAGTGAGGAGCAATTTAAGGGTCGAAATATCTCCCAATTATTTCTTACTTGTCTCCGTAGCAAAAAATCTGTGTCAACAGTTGCAAAAAAGATCAATATGTACAACATCTGCCTATCAGTCTGTCGGGAAAATCATGTCGCTGAAGAGTGTTTTCATTTTATTGTAAAATACGACCCCTTGGACTTCGACCATGTTCTTTGTGCTTTTCAGACCTACCTTATCCATCAAGACGCAAAAAATGTTTCTAATGGATCCTGAAAAGCAATTTGATTTTACCGCGACACAGTTAATTTTCCCGGCGGCGATGTGATCCTAGATGCGACGAAGCGCTTATTATTTTCCCGACAGACTGATATCTCTAATGTATTATATTATAATTCAATTGTATCGCACTTTTTTGTAACCATTGTGTTTTGTCGCTTCAAAACTCAGACCAAAACTTTTAAGTAAACGTGATTGTCAAAAAAGTTCGACGGCCCCTCGAGCTTCGGAAATCCCATATTTTCGTGAAACACAAAAGGGATTTAGTTTCAGCGGACATCACAAATCGTTTGTTAGTTTCAGAAACGTTGCTTTGTTTTTGTTCCATTGCAACAAAAACAATGAAAAAATTATTGCTAATATGTTTTCTGTCTAACTCATTTTTGGCCCTAAAATCGGATGATATTTCAAACTCGACCGAAGAAATTTGGGCCGAGATAATAACTGGCCAACCAGAGCCCTCGTTTCCTTTTGAATTCGCCAAAAATTCAACGGAAAGTTCAGCTTCGACTGCAAAAATATCAAAAAATTCGGGTCAATTAGCAGTATCCACAACAACATCGGCGTCTTCAGAAGTGACCGTTCCAGGGTTTCCAACTACCAAAGATTATTTTGAGCTGGCGAATCAGACGCTGGAAGACTTCAAAAGGCTGGTCTATGCCGATGAAGCCACGGAATTCCCCGAATTGGAGAGGGAAAATGATGACGCAACGATCCGATTGAGAGAAAGTCCATTTCCGGAGGCCAAGGAGAAGATCATGTTTGGGAAATCGACAATAAATGTGAGCTTATATTTTGTCTGTGATAGGATTTATTTTCAAACGGTTAATCGAGATTTTTGGGTCAAAATTAGGCCAAAAAAATGACGGTTTTTTGCCATTTTTGGGATTAAAAAGATACACGCCTATTCCTACCGTAGAGTACAACCTTTCCACAAAAAAAATAATTTTTTTCCCTTGAGATTTACAAAGATATGACAAAAAGGTTTCTCCCAGTGACCGCTCTCCGCATTTCCCATACTGTTTCGGCAGCAAAGTTTTGTGAATATCTCGGCTGTCTCCGCAATGTGAGAACCAAAATCTTCAGGGATTGATTTGTGGTCTATGACCGGTATTTGTGCAAAATTTAAAAAAAATCTGAGCGTCGCACTTTGGGTACTTCCCTTGTAAATTTTGATTTTTTTTTTGATATTGGCTGGCTAACTGCAGTTTCACTTCTACCGTAAAACATAATATGTAAATTCCCGTGTACCTACACAGAACAGCCTTTTCTGCATATTTATGTCCATTTGGAAAAGATACGGCCAAAACCCTCTTTTTCCCTCACAAATGGCTCGGCAAAACCTCATCACCTAGTTTCTTTTTGAAACATATACCATTTGAAAGAGCGCAAAAAACTGGTTCAAGATCACCTTTAATTAGCTGCTCAGACTCTTTTACGTGCTGTCTCAGACTGCTCACAATATCTCTCGTTGAAACTCTTTCAGGCCCCTCCATCCAAACTTATCAAGCTTATAATTCCCTGGGAGCCATACCGTCTCCAATGGGACCATGAATTGTACGAGAAATTTGATGTCATCAAAGCGCTGGACAACACTGTAAGAGCCTTTTTTTATTGTAAAATACGCATTGTTTAAATTTGTCTAATATCTATGATTTTTGAGCTTTGCAGACCTACCTCATCCATCAAGTGACAAAAAAGATGTTTCTAATGGACCCGCGCGACTCAATCAGTGTTTATAAGGTGAGAATTCGATATTCTGCAAACAATTTAGCTGTATTTTAGGAGGAAACTTTTGAAAACGGCTCAATAATTATGGTGACTCAATCAACTTCCCATCCCGATTACCCGGAAGTTGATGGGATCAAGAGAACTTCTCAAAGACTCAGCGGATATCTGATTGAACCGAGCAAAAGCAACAATCAAAGCTCTGATATTAAGGTACGGTCTTATCGGTCTGTCGGGAAAATAATGAGCCCTCAGTCGCAGTGAAAATCGCATCGCCGCCGAGAAAATTAAATGTGTCGCGGCAAAATCAAAGTGCTTTTCACTTCAGCGATTGGCGCAGCGACATTGCGCTCATTATTTTCCCGACAGCCTAATAATAAAAATTACAAATGTTACAAATATTTTGCGTTGTGTTTAGGTAATCATCGCCACGGATCTGAACCTCCCAGTCCCCAGCTTCTTCTCGTCTGTGGTCGAGAAATTTAAGCCCGGCCAGTTTGAAAAGTTCTTCCAACGACTGAAAGAAGCGACCACTCAAGTAAATGTGAATTGAAAAAAGAATTGTGGCAAACAATAAATCGATCTTGATGCGGTTACCAAGAACAAACTTGCCAAAAAAGTGTCGAATTTTGAAATAAATATTTAGGAAAAAATCTTGCCGGGGAAGTACTCCAATTGCGACGCATAGATTTTGATGAAACTTGGTACAAATTTAGAACATTTTTTCTAGGACATCTGCGAGACTCCTAGCTTGTTTTTTTAGAGAAACGACCGAGATTTTCAGATCTAAAATTGGTAAAAAGTGCGACGTTCTTATTCAAATTTTGGTATAGTAAATTTCATGCCTGTTTCTACCGTCAAGGATAATATTTTCACAAAAAATTATTTTTTCAACACGAAACTGGAAAAGATATGGCCAAAGCGTGATTTCTATTGATTTATATTTGATGGCTCTCCGCGCTTCACGTACTCTCTCGGCTGCAAGGATCGTTGAATATATAAAAATTTACAGAAGGTCTCAGTGTTGCAACCGGGGTCCTTACCTTTCAAATATTTATTTCTAACTTTTAGAGTTTTGTTTTCCCTTTCATCCCAAGATGGCTCACCGTTTTTGAAATTTTTTCACAACCCCGTACATCCATCTTCTCGGAATGAAAACACAAACAAGCAATCAGCTGAGAGTGTCTATTACACCCGATCTAATTCAACGACAAGAGGAATTTATTAAGTTTCACATAAGGTGTTTATTCGTGAAGAATACAGCACTGCTCGCATCTGCAATGAACGCTAAACAACGACTGTTCTTCTTTCTCTCTATTCTTTTATTTACGGCCGAAATAAGAGCTGACAGTGAGGATAAGATTAGTGAAGACGACGATCCCGACTTCCGCCCGTCATTGACAATCTACGACGGCCCTAGATGCAAGGGGAACGTGTTGGCGACCGGCCCTTGTGATCGTTGCTTGCATTGGGAAGGGAAGATCAAGGTGTTGTCTTATCAGGCAAGGATTTTCTTTCTTTTTATTGTACAACGGAACCTTTGTACAACGAACTCATAACGGGACATTTATATTACGTAAAATATTCTTGATTTTCAGTTCCACGGCAACAGCAGCTACTGCTTCCGTCTTAGCGACAGAAACGATTGCGCAAAGAGCCGCAACTACTTTGGCGGCACCATGGACAGAAATGAATGTGGGGATGTGACAAACATCTATGTTAATCATGGAATATGCTATTTGAACAAGGATACGCGATGACTCGGGCCGTTGACAGCGCCGAAAATCAGGATGACTAAATATATTTCTTTGTGATTTCTTCTTTTCTTTCGGGGTAAACATAAACAACATTTCTTGGTATGCAACGGTAAACAATTTGTTAGATGGCTTTCGTTAGACACGTTCTTTCCTTGTTAGAAATTTTTACTAACAAATGAAGTACACGTCAAAAAATCTTTTAGAAAATTGAAAAACCAAGGAATCTCGGATCATAGATTTTTTGCGAAGTGCCACAGAATTATCGAGTTAGAAAAATTATTTGTCTCTTCGAAAAAAAAATTTCTCAACAGAAAAACTTTTTCTCTGGGCAAGTTATATTGTCGAAACGAAGTTTGCACGTCTTGCATAGAAGCCGATAAGATAAAGTTAAACACACGTAGACAAAACAAATCATCTTATGTTATAAAGCAACATGATGATTAAACAAACACCGCCCAAATGACCAACACAATTCTATACTTGTATGTTTATTTTCTTCTATATTGTTCTGTAACAAAAGCTGAAGACAACCAAGAAACTTTTGAAGAATTTGCTGAAGACAATGACGGAGATTTACCTCCAACATTAACCATATACGAAGGCAGTAGATGCAGTGGGAAAGTGTTGGCTACTGGATATTGTGATGGTTGCTTTGGATGGGGAGGTGTTTATCGAGAACTTTCATTTAGAGTAAGTACAGTCAATGCTCAGCCAAAAACTGCCTTGAAGATAAAGCCTTCGCATAACAACCAATTTCAAAGGCCACAAAATCTTACAAGGAAAGTACCCCAAGTGCGACGCTCAGATTTTCTTTAAATTTTACACACACGACGGTCATGAACTAAATATCAATTCCTGAAGGTTTTAGCCCGCGCTTTGCAGGCGCAACCGAGATATTCAACGATCTTTGCCGCCGAGAGATTACGCTAAAAGCGGAGAGCGGTCAGAGAGATAAACACTTTTTGGCCACAACTTTTCAAGTTTCGTGCGGAAAAAATTGATTTTTTGTGGAAACATTACCATCTATGGTAGAAATAGGCATGAAACTTTTAGTGCCAAAATTCGGCAAAAAGTGTCAAATTTTCGCCGACTTTCGATCTAAAATCTCGGTTGTTTTCGCAAAACGCGGGTTAGGATTCTCCCAGATATTTTAGGAAAAATAATTCTAAATCTGTGCCAAGTTTCGTCAAAATCTGAGCGTCTCACTTGGGGCACTTCTCGTGCTGGATTCGAGACTCCGCACAACGAAACCCTTTGTTAAAAGGCGAATTTTTAATCGCATGCGATTCGATATATATGGCTCGGGACTTCTAAATCTCTCCGCAAGAGTCTATCCGAACCCTGCAAAGTACAAAGTTAAAAGTTGCGCAATCTGACATAATATTGCGCAATTTCTCTCTTTGTAAGAATTTCTGCCTTTCTCTGTCGTCTCCTCCTTTTTTGTCAACTTTTAACTTAGGACTAAATTTCCAGGGTTCGGATGGACTCTTGCGGAGAGATTTAGAAGTCCCGAGCCATATATTATAAAGAGCTGCCGCTGCGCTTAGAATTTCAACTTGGCTAATTTCAACTTTATTGCGCTAGACAAATTGCCTGTGCGCCATTCGCAGAAAATGGCCTAGAATAAACTTTTTCTGCCGCTGGGACTGTTCGTTGTAGGCAGGTTTTTGCAGTTTACTGTTTTGATATCGCTTTTTCAGTTCCACGGCAATGGCTCTCATTTCATTCGAATGCACAAGGGAGAAACATGCGCACAGACAAGTTTTTTCGCCGGCCGGATGGATGATAATAATTGTGTTGGACTTGGGAATATTTATGTAAATTCCGCACGATGCTTTATATGATTTTTCTTGGAAATAAAGAGCAAATTTACTAAAGGGTCTATCAGTCTGTCGGGAAAATAATGTGGAGCGGCTTGGAATCGCCTTTCATCGCATTTTGAAGCCGTGGCTGGAGATTTGGAGCGCGATAGAAACGAGGCGGGAAATTTTGCTGCGACGAATCCACATTATTTTCCCGACAGACTGATATTAGCCCCAGGCTAAATTGAAAGACATTTCTCTCGGTTCAAATAAATCAAAAAAAAAATCTTTTTTGTTTAGTAATCAAAAAGACATTAGCCCTTCTTATCACTCAACAGAACGGGCAAACTGTCCTTGATGCTTCAGATATAGTGATAACAATAAAATGAAAAATTTTGTGTAACAATTGCTAATTTTTCTTTTTTCAAATCTCGGGCTCTAAATGCCCAAATTTTACAATTTTATTTTGTTTCTCCTCTTAGGAGCCGTTGTTTTCTCACTTCCTAAACATGATGACATTTCCATTCGTGATGACACGCCTCCGACTTTGACGATTTACGATGGACCCGGTTGCAAGGGCAAGATTTTGGGCTCTGGATATTGCGACGCATGCTTTTCATGGGAGGGCACGAATCACACGGGATTGTCGTTCAAGGTAAGTGCTATTCAGTTGATGAACAACAAAGGCGTTTGTCGCGCTTAGCACCAAAAAATAAAAAGTTCAAAAAAATCTTTTCTAGCACGATTAAGGTCAAAGGAAGTTTTAGACATGAAATTTTGACTAGATTTTCACTTCATAGCTTTGATTTGTCCCAAATATGCCTAACATGAGAGGTATAGATCTGCCGATAATGCACAAAAAAATAAAATTTTTGAGATACGACAGCCGAGTGGTAGGCTTTTTCAGGTTGAAGTGCAGTGGCGGACCTGATCCAGTGGCAAAAAACGTACCATTTTGCATCCGAGAAGTATCAAAAAATGTAGCAAAATACCTCCCTCTCCCAGTGAAAAAACTCCGATTTCAAAAGCGCGGCAGCTCGGGAAAGAGCACGCTCTTAAAAACGGAGTTATTTTTCTCGGAGAGGGAGGTATTTTGCTACATTTTATGATACTTCCCGTATGCAAAATGGTACGTTTTTTGCCGTTGGATCAATCCGCCACTGTACGTTGACAAACATGAAAATGGACAGTGCAACTTGGGTGTACTACACATAAAATAAGATTTCATTTTTTGTGTAGTACACCAATTTTAATAGGTTTCTTTTCAATTTTTTTAGACCTACGGGGTCTTCGATCACTATCTTCGACTTTACATTGGCAAGAATTGCACAGGCCGCGTCTACTTCCGCGCCCATCACCCCGACAACGTTTGCGGAACGCTGAGCAGGGAGTGGGGAAACTCCGCGAGGTGCTGGCTTTGAACTTTATATTGCAATTTTTTCTTTACGCTCACAACAATACTCATTTATTAATTGGCGATATCTATGATTTTACAATTTTGTTCACAATCAAACTTTTTACTGACAACTGAATGACTCATAATTAGGTAGACTGCAAATGAAATAAAGGAAATGAGCTGGGAATAACAAATTTTGAGAAAAAATAAACAAAAAAGTCCGCAAAAACATTGCGTTTTTTGCCCACCTCGATAGAAAAAACTCCCATACAACAAAACCTGTCTATAACAAGCAATTTCAGCGGGCTCAAGAGTCAATTCAAGGCCAAAATGAACCTCCATATAACAAGAATCTTCTATAACGAATAAATTTTTAATCCCTTGTGATTTGTTGCGGAGTTTCTGTATTCATAATACAACCAAAGCTCGGTACAACGCAAGGGATAAAAATTTATTCGTTATAGAAGATTCTTGTCTTATGGAGGTTCATTTTGGCCTAGAATTGACCCTTGGGCCCGATGAAATTGTTTGTTATAGACAAGTTTCGTGGTGTGTAAGTTCGTAAGTTTTTGGAGATCGATTCCATCATAATTTTACTCTTTTTTATATATTTGAACGTAAAAAATATTGAATTTCAAACTTTTTTTGACAAGAAATTGTTCCTTGTCTATTTTACCTTCAAAATTTGTTAACCCAACCTCCAAAATTCACAAAAAAGACCAATAAAATCAAAGTCAATGATCACAAGTCCTCATACTTAACATTAAAGCCATTTGCTGGATGCGCCGCTGTCCCATCGCTTGTTACAGTAACCTCCGCCGTTTGTGCTTCCGGCCTTTCAATTGGGGTTTGCGTTAAATTGCTGAGATTGGGGTCGAAAAACAGAAAATCCGAGGAATTAATCTCATCCTTGGTCTTCAAACACATCTGCGAAACCTGGGAATTCAGCTGATTGGAGGTGTACGGAGTGGTGTAATAGCCGTTGTAATACATCGGATTGGCCGTATAGTTGGAGCCGAATGCAAATGGATACATCTGAAAATGGGATTTGTGGGAAATATAAGTTGTTACGAAGTCACTTTATCAGTCTGTCGGGAAAATAATGAGCAATGTCGCTGGGTCAATCGCATCGTTGAAGTGAAAAAAAAAAAATTTGCTGCGACAAAATTCATTTTCTCGGCGGCGATGCGACTTTCCATGCGACAGAGGGCTCATTATTTTCCCGACAGACTTTTTTGCTCATTATTTTCCCGACAGACTTTTTTTTGCTCATTATTTTCCGACCGACTTTTTTTTGCTCATTATTTTCCCGACAGACTTTTTTTTGCTCATTATTTTCCCGACAGACGTTTTTTTGCTCATTATTTTCCCGACAGACTTTTTTTGCTCATTATTTTCCCGACAGACTTTTTTTGCTCATTATTTTCCCGACAGACTTTTTTTTTTGATACTAGTCGTTCCAGGAAGTGCGTACACTTTTTTCGGCTTCTTTTCGCATCGTGCATTGCATGTTGCGATTTTTTTCGGACCATTTTCGCCGGAGTGATTTTCGCGACATGCACTGTGCGAAAACAAAAGTTTTCTTTGCACCGTGCAATTTCTTGCTTTTTGCACCGTGCAATCGGCTTTTTTTGGGCTGTCGCTCGCACCTTGACTTTTTCTACTTTTTCTGCACAGTGCAAACGTCAAAAATGACTCCAGCGAGGTCAAGGATGGACTATTAAAAGCATACAAAAAAATGTTTTGAGTAAAAAGCGATTTTTTCAAAAAAAAAAAAAATTAGTTTTTTCAAAAAAAAATTTTTTTCTCGTACAACAAGCCAAAATGTGTATAATTCTTCAAAACCTGAATGTCGCATTTTGCGCTATTTTTTCTATTTTTACACTTCTAATTATTTTAAAAATAAAAAAATAATTTTTTTACCTGGCTTGCATTCAGCGAAGTCGTCGTCATATTATTCCAATTATTGAAAGTGTTGGTGTAATTCGAGTAGAACGGTTGTTGGAAATCCTGCAACGCCTGATTAAACGAAGTGGTTGGCTGGATTAGAGAGGTTCCATTTGAGGCATTCAGACGATTCTCGTCGAGTTCCGGAAGACCATTCGATTCTTTGGAGCAGGAATTGTTGGAGCGATTGGAATCGGTGTCCGAAAAAATGTCCATCCCTTCTTTGGGGAGCCTGAAAAAGTTTTAAAAAATAAGAAAAATGGTTTTAATTTTAATTTTTTTCATTAAAAAATAAAAAAATTTTTTTTGATTTTTCATTATTTTTTTTTGGAAAAAGTTCTAAAAATCATTAAAAAATAAAAAAAAAAATTTTAAATAAAAAATTTCATTTTGAAACTAAAAAAATTCAAAAAATTTTGAATTTTTTTCGAAATATTACCCAAAAAATATGTAAAATACGTTTTAAAACAACACTCAACCTACTTTCTCTGCTGCCTCTGACGCTGTCGTTGATTTTTGAACCAATTCGAGACTTGAGTTACGCTGAGATTGGTCTGGTTCGAAAGCTCCTGCTTTTCGGCTTGAGATGGCATTGGATTCAGTTTGTAGGCGTCTCGGAGAGTTATCCTGTCGCGTTTCTGAAAAAAAATTTTTTGAAAAATAATTTTAAAAATTTGAAAAAAAAAATCGAAAAACCGCCTTACCTTGAAATGATACATAGTCTGCTCTCCATCCCAGATGGTTTTTGGGAAACTGTGCTTCTTTCTGACTCTATATCTGGTCACTGGATCCAACGGTTTTCCTTGACTTCGCGTCCGTTCCGTCTAAAATTTTGCAAAATTACAGTAGGAAGGGGGAATTGCAAATTTGAAATTTTGATTTGACTAAAATCAGGCAGAAGTTTTTAAAAAATTTAAATTTTTGAAAAAAAAAATTGAAATTTTTTTTTTATATTTTTACTTTGAAAATTTCATGGAATATTTCTGGCAAGGCACGAAACATTTCTGCAGAAAAATAATTTTTTTCTTGACTGGATTAAAAGAGTTAGCGACAAAAATGTCTTTCGTCTGGCCGACCCTCCTCATTTCGCATGCTCTCTCGAAAAAAGATTGCGAAATATCTCCGCTGCAAACAAAAACCGTGAGCTAAAAATTTCGGGAATTTGTATGTAATATATTTCAAGTGTGTATGTAAAATTTTAAGAAAATCTTGAAAAATTTCAAAAATTTTTTTTTTTTTCAAAAATTCAAAAATCATAAAAAAAAATATTCGCCAAAGCTCAGTTTTCATGCTAAACCAAATCCCCACCTCTCTATAATGCGCCTCGTTCCACAACGATTGAAGATCGGCATGAAATTCCCTCGGGAATGGCGTTGTTTCCAATAAAATATACAAATCTTTGAAGCTTTGCTGCTCGAAAAGTTGAACTGCCTTCAACTTCAGCACGCAGGATTCGGCACAATGTCGAGTCAAGAAGATCTGTGTCAAAAATCGAGTCATCAAGCTCAGGTCTTTCCGCTTCTCCACGGCATTACAGATCTGCTTCACGTAGGAAATCGGGAACGAGTCGAGGGTTTGAGCGCTGAAAAATCGATTTTTCAGGCGATTAATTATCAATTCAATCAAAATTTTTGGCTTATTATGATAGAACAAAGTCTATTCTATATGTTTATGACCTTACTTTGGTTATGTTTTGCTTTTGGGTTACTGTAATTTTGAATTTTTTTGTTTTGAAAATCCAGGCAAACTGAACTAATTTGCTTTTTTCTCAAAAAAATCTTGTTTTTTCAAAGGATGAGACAACTGTTCAAGACTTGAAATTGTAGTAAGAAGTTCGTGCTACAACCTGTTCAAGCATTTCCTCCAAATCTTTGTAACACATGCATCAAAAATGAAAATTTTTGACTTTTTTCTTGGGAAATCAGACTTTTTTGCTTTTTTTAAGTAATTCTTAAGTAAAAAATTAGATTTTCAATACGTATCTTATTCCGTTTGGCCGTATACAGGGTGCGGCAAAAAAATGGAAACTTATTTTTATAGCTATATTTTTTCTAGCAATCCAAATTCCGCAAAAGTAACGGTCATCTTCAATAAGATAGAGCATTGTTTATAACATATTCAACCCGTTTTACCGTGGCTGCTTTTGGAGGCGATATAGAGCTCCAAACGTGACTTAAAATTTTGGCCTTTTGGCCGCAGCTTTTTTCGGGGAAATCGGTCCCGTTCTTGACGCAGCGAATACTTTGCGACTCCAAACTTTTGTGGCGTGTAGTACAGATGCTGGCCTCCAATTGAAAAAAAATTACAGTCCATTGGATCCATACCCGGCGAGCAGGCGCTCTTTTCGCAGACGGGGTGAAATTGGGAAAATCGGTCTCAAAATCGGTCTTGACGCGTTGTTGCCCTGTGAGTCGGCGCTGAGTCTAGTTGGAACCTCAAATTTGCGCGGCCAAGGTTCTACTGAGCCAACAGAAGCATGAGGACATCAAAGTTAACGCGGCGCTAGAATTTTGCCCGCTTGATCCACGAAAATCTCGGAATTCTTGCCGCTGGCACAAATTCCCCCTTAGGCGATGACGGCCTTTATTTTGACGGTGTTCGTCGTTAGCCGACGTGCAGGGCGCCTCATCGGATTGGACTATGACGTTCTGTTGGTTGTGCACCCGCCAAAGATTGCACCGCGAAGGGAATGCGCTCCCATCGCGGACCTGCGGCCCGACGTCGGAATTTTTGGCATTTTTTCAGGCGTACGGGCTTGATCTTGCCGATTAGGAGTTGGGCATTTCATAGCTTGCGTTAGGAGACTTTGAGTTGATTTTTAGCTATTTGGCCGACTGGTCGGTCGCTGATGCCGGTCTCACGGGCAATTTTTTCTCGAAATCGACGGATTTCGCTATTGATGACCCCGCGGCTGGCAGAAGTGTTGACGGTGCGTTTTCTTTCGCTTACTGGACGCTTAAAATTGTCAAAAAGCTCCTTGCATTGTGGGATTACTTTGGACACAACGTGCTTTCTATGCCGGGCAAATTAACAGTTCGCACAGGTAAAAAAACAGGTCCGAAATCGAGGTCCCTCTGTTTGTCATTCAAAAAAATAATGTTAATAAACCGATATGGACATGAAATTATAAGGTTTAGGAGAGAAAGCTACGTAGAATTTAATGGTATGAAAATAATTTTGCTGCACTTAAAAATTTTTGCGTCAGGACCCAATGAAAAAAGTTTCCATTTTTTTGCCGCACCCTGTATATGATAGTCATCAAATTCTAGTTTTTATTTTTCTTTAAAATTTTGTTTTATAATCGATTTTTATGTTACACTTGACTTTTGATGACTACTTTTTACAAGTTCCTCAATTCTCTCTATTATTTTACCTTTCCATACAGACTTCTGTACTCAAAACCCCTTCTCTGTTCTTTTATTTTACCCATGTTTGCGTTGCTTTTTTGGCTACTCCTTCGCGCGAGACAAGAGAGTACCAAGTTTATTTTCTCGGCGCTGCGGGGTGTCAATACCTAGCTTTCGGGGCCCTTCTCTCGACCTTATTGTTGATCTGTTTGCATTGACAGGACAAGTCCCGTTGAAGAGGAGCTGTGGTGGATAAACACTGGGTCCCAGTGGGAGCGACATAACTGGATTATTTTATACATGATATCAAAAAAATGGGGGTTTGCGAAAGGAAAGTAAAAAACGGCAAAAATTGTGCAAAAAATTGGGGGAAAATGATGATTCAGTAAACCTTCTGTGATTTATTTAACTTCTAGAGTCAATTCAGGCCCTAAATATTGGATTTACATTGTATTAAAGATCTATTTCTTACAAGGAAAGTACTTCTATGGGGTGTGGAATTACCGGTCGAGATATATATCAAAAAATTCGCAAAAATTTTCTGATTCAGAATATATAAAAATTAGCTGCCTAATTTTGGTCTGATGACATGTTTTTGTCTTCAGAAGTTTTCTCGCGACACCATGCAAGTGTCTTTTTGACCGTGTTTTTACCAATAAAAAAATTTTGTTTTGTGCTAAACTAAATTCTGAGGCCTTGACAAGCCTTAAAATATCAAATTGGATTACAACTACACCTTAAAAGTAGTTCCACTGTAAAAAATGGGTTTTAGTGTGGCAAAAGGAATCGAACCCGTTCCTCTCGGATTCCCAATCTAGCGCTCTAACCACTCGGCCACACCGCTCTCTTCCGAAGGAAGAGACCGAGCGCGCTTTTGTTGCCGCAGATTTTTTTCCTCGAGAAAAACATTTATTGAAAAAACTCGCTGATAGACCAAAATTAGGCAGCTAATTTTTATATATTCTGAATCAGAAAATTTTTGCGAATTTTTTGATATATATCTCGACCTGTAACTCCACACCCCATAGAAGTACTTTCCTTGTTAAATTTCTCAAGAAAAACTCTCAAAAAACTCAAAAATCATCAAAACTTAAAGTAAAAACGTTTGTTACAGTAATCCAGTAAGCCCTCTGTAGCCTAAATATCATCTTCGGACTTTGTTTTTCTCTTTATCTTAAAAAAATTTGGGGTTTTTTCAAAAAATATTCTAAAATCCACCAAACAACAAAAAACCGTCAAAACCCGTTTCATCTCATGTTACAGTACCCCTACCTTCTGTTTTCTCTCACTTGACCCTTGCCTAAATTGTCGTTGCGCAACTGTTTTTTGCCCCCAAACTTGTGGACTGTTTATCTCGGCACTTGAAAAAGACCTCTCCCTTTAACGGAATTTTTGAAATCCGATATCCTCTTGGCTTAACTTTTTTTTATAGTGTCCTGAACCGCGTTTTAACACCAACGAGCGGCATTGCAACGCGTTGAAGGCAAAAAGCAAAAGTCTTCAAAGGGCGGTGTAATTAGTTTAAAGACCGAGAAGAGAGGTTTACGGGAGTAAAAGGAGTTTTAGGGACGGTGGATTACGGTAATTGGGTTACTGTGCGCATACAGTTTGCAGGAGAGGCTATTTGCTCGTCGAATATTCGCAATTCTTTCTGTATTTGTAAAAAAACTTGTGTTTTCGCCATAAATTGGGAAATTTCTATGTTTTTTGATAAGCTCAGGGATTACTGTAACTTAAAAAATTGTCTATTCTTATCACCATGTCATGTATTTATCAAAAAATGTCTTTGAAATCTTCAAAAAGGAATTTTTCTCAAGCAAGATCGAACCTGTAAGTTTTCGACTGCCAACCAAACTCACTACCTCTACACTAAATCGGAACACTTTCACAAAATCCATCAAATTCTCAAAAAATCTCAAAATTCAAACAATTTGTCGATTTCTAACGTTTTTAAAATACGGCGTCCTCATCTTCCAGTTGTCTTTTTTTGAATAAATATTTAAATTTACCGCCAAAAAGGTTAATTAAGTCTGACCGAGCTGATCCTTCCGATCCACTCTCGAACACCTTGTCCCGAGTCCATATAAACCAACACAGCCGGACATTGTTTGATCAGCTGCGTGGAGTGTTTGTGCAAGAGGGGATCAGCTCTCAATCCAGTTATGGCACAATGGAAAATGTTTGAAATATGGGAAAAAGGTCATGATTTTATGATTTTTAAATCATTTGAAAGTAAAATACGGCTTGTATTGTCACTGAACAAGTTAGACAATTTACTTCATCATTTTTTAATCAAAAAATCTCGATTTTTGTAAAATAAAAATTCTATGAAAAAACCCTGATTTCAATATTCCCTGAGGGCAAGAAAGTAAAATACGTCTAACTAAGGCTTCCAAACAATTTTAAAACAGTTTTAACTGAAGTTCTCTCATAAAACTATCGCCATTTCTAAAAAAAATGACCATATCTCTTTCCCACTTAACCCAATCGACCTCCTGCCGGATCCATAGCAAAGATTATGCAATCAGCGCTCACTTATCGCCAGATTAGACAAAGACAACTCCAAACGCAATCAGTTTCTGGCCAATAAGTGAGCGAAAAGTTGCGTAAAATCCGTGGAAAATCCGAATGACCTTAGCTCTTGAGTTTGAGGATTTGAAATAGACATTAGGATCCTACAATTGTGAGAAAAGAGAAGGCGTAGAAACTTGGCAAAATTTGGAAGATTGTGCCAATTTAGTGTAGTGGTAGTGAGTTAAAGGTTTGACCGTCGTAAGTTCGATTCCATGTGGAAGAATACAATTTTTTCGAAAATTTCCAGTGAATAATCCGTTTAAAGAAGAATTGGTGGGCCTTGAAAAGCACATAAATTGTATTGGCAGTTAATTTTTTGCCGGAAAAAATATATTTTTTACAAAACCGCAAAAATTTTCCCTATTATCAAAGTTTTTCCATCTTGTTTAATTTTTTCTCGTCTAAACTATGATTTAATCTCGCTACCATCTCCTCATTTTGATTCACCCACTTCGCCTTCCTACTGTAGCCCCATTAAAAGATGCTTGACCAATATTTTTCCCGGATTTATTTGCGTTTTCGCTGCGAATTTCGTCGGGGGCCCCAATCATTCGCCGGAAGCCATCTGGCCTTCCACTTCTTGGCCATGGGGAAGCAGATTCCGAGTCCTTAAAAGCCCGCGCTGTGCAAACAGAGAAAGTCATGAATTTAATCAAAAAATGTGCCCATAAATGTAGTGCCCGCAAAAAGACAAATATTCGAAAAATAATGGCCCGGATACGGTAATCGTTGCCTGAGGCCGGAGTTTTTTTCTGTAAAAATGCAGCATTGCACGTGGAACATTGTCAATGCTTTATTTTTAGCAATCACTTTTTTCGGATTCTCACAAAAACCAAGCTTTGGGTCCCGCCACGAAAACTTGAAAAGTCACGAATATCGCGTAAAAGGATAACCAACCTCTCTCCAGCACATTGTAGAAGCTGAGTGTCGTCGATGTGTGTGGGATTTATATAAAAATTGGAAAAACCGAATTGATTTGGATCAAAGTATGGCATCATCTATGGACAGCGGATTTAAATATCTGAAATGGAAGAAAAATAGGACTTGATGGTAAAATACGCATGTTATAATATAATCATCTACGTAAAATGAATACGGCCTGAAAACCCGGAGGCATAAAGGGATTTCAAAAAAAATTATTGTCAGTCGTGATACTCTTTCACAAAGCTATCTGCAGCTCTTTTGAAAGTTATTTTATTTATTACTCATCAGACACAGCCGTCTGAATAGCAGCCAAGGGACAATCATTTTGGTTATGGCATCTAAATTTAATTTCTGACCTTATTTTAAGTCATCAAAACTTTAATGCCTTCTTTAGTCTTAATCTTTCGGTCTACTCAATTCTAATCTCTGAATTCAGCTTTGTGTCCCGATATGGATCCCCAACTGTCCACTCTTTCGATTATGACCACCGATTCTAGGATTTCACCGTTCCTCTCTTCCCCACGTGTATATCCCATTTCACGTCCACTCCGGAGCGAAAGAACGCGGAGAAACGAGAAACTTGTGAACATGCCCATATCCCATTACTATTGTAAGATAATCCTCTATCTAATACTCTCATCCATCGTGCTCGGAAATCCCCAAAAATTCGACAATTTAACCCAAACAGTTTACAATTACTATTCAAATCAAAATGCAGTAAAAAACTGATTACTAATTAAACTCGATAAAAAGTAATCTCTCAAATCGTCTCTATAAAACCTCAAATTCACGGAGAGAGCAGAAATGAAAAGCGTTTTAGGTTGGCCGGGCTGTACGGCCAAGAAAGAGGGAGCACCCAATCAGCGACGAGGAAGGGGAAAAAGAGGCTCCGCCCACTTTTAGGCAGTCTTGAAGCTTTCTGATGATTGAAAAATGCAAAAGGAGGCCTCTTGGAAAAATGAGGAAGAAAATTATAATGGAAATGGGCTACGGTAGATCGGGAAAAAACGGTAGCCAAAATTTATTCAGAAATGAATTTTTTTGGAGGTAAAATGAAATTTTTTAATGATTCTAGGTGCGTCTTTCAATTTTTTGGACTTATGATGTTATTAACAATAATTCTACAGTGCTCTTTTGGATTTTTTTGGATTGTAAAATACGATTATTAATCTGCAGCAAAATTTTTTCGGATTTCAAATTTTTTTCAAAGTTTGAAAGCTCAAACTGCAAAAGCTAGGCATTTCCAAACCTCCCTTTGGCCTGGGGAAACAAAAGTTAATGTAATTTGATCTGAGGTGGTCAAAAAGTAGGAAAAAGTTAAGAAAAAGACTTTTTTGAGGGAAACGCTTGGATATGAACGGTTCTGGTTATGTTATAACTTCTTATTCTGTATAAAAATTTGAATCAAGGCTTCTAAAATTACCGGAACTTCAAAAAATCTCATTCTCCAAAAATCTCGTTTTCAAAGCGACAAAAGTTGATGACATAATTCGAATGAAAAAATTCATTTCTTGGCCATCTGGCCATTCCGAACTTTATTTACAGGCTTATGAAAACATTGGGCCGAGAATGACAGGTGTGATGGTTTGTTTATCTTGGCCACACGTCATGTACATCATCACCAAAGAATATAAAAAAATTACTGAATGAGTGGGTGAAAGGCTATTTTTAAGAGTGAAGTACCTTTTGAATGGCATGATGAAGATAAAGTCCAATGCTGAATTTTACACTACTTCACTACTTGCGCATACAAAAACTCACCGGAGACGTGCTCCAGTGCGATGCTGAGATCTTGATGAAACCTGGAATTTAGATTCCTGCGACATTTCTAAATTCACCAAATTTTTTTCTCCAAAAAACTGATTTTTATAACAAATTACCAAAAAAATTGTTGGTTATAGGCTTGCGTTGTACGAAGGTACATTTTAGCCAAAAAATTGACACCTCTGACAATGGTCATTATCTGAAACTTTCGTTGGTTATAGACAGGTTTCGTTGTACAGAGGTTTCGTTGGTATACCAAAATAAAAATTTTCTTTCTTCTCGACATTTTCTCATCATTTTTGTTCGCTAAAAGCATTCAATTTTGTGTTTGTCAGGAGGTTTCGTGACCTTTTCGTTGGCTTCCTTCCATTGGTCTTTTCGCAGAATGAAAAGGCCAGCCTTTTCGACGTTATTAGTGCGGGAAATCAAAGAGAAACAAAGCGTCTAGAATTACCGTAAGACACCTGATGTCATAGACGTTTTAATAATGGAGATTCGAGGAACAGAGTGTTCATAAAAATTGAAAAAAATTGGGATAAAAAATCAAAATTTTTTGTAAAATACAAGTGGTACCGTCGTTTTTGGACAAAAAAAGAGTTGTTGACAATACAAGCAGCAGAATTTTTAGCTCTTACTAAGAAAAATTCACACCGATTTTTTCTCCGAAAAATGAAAAATCAAAAAATTTCGAAATTTTTGCCTATGACTCGCTTTGTTAACTCTGAAATTGTTGTCATTTGCGGTGGTCCTAATTTTACCTACTGTTTTTTATAAATCCAAAAAAATCATCAGTTTCCGCTTTTATCAACCTTAAAATCCATTTTTTCACAATTCCCTCTAGCCCTCTCCTCCGTCCAGACACTCTCTCGTCCATCAAAAGTTTCATTGTTGGCGACCAGAAGCGTGTCGCTTAAGATCCGTCGAGTGGCTTTTCTCGGGCCGGATTTGCAGGTAGTTCAAGTGAGAGTATAAATAAGCCCGGCCAATCGCCAAACAATTGCGCAACAGGAAGAATAAAGATCTCATCCAAAAGGGACGTATATCGGAAATAAATAGAGAATAGAGGTTACAGAAGGAGTCAAAGGAAATTTTTTAATTTTTTCTTCAAAAAATCCCGTCAAAACTTTTTCAAATTATCTAAATTTAAGTATAGCCTTTATTTTCTACCGATGCGAATAATAAACGGCAAAAGAAATTGATAATGATCTCTGCGGGCGAGACAAAATGTAAAAATCAATGCAAAACCTTTTTAGATTTTTTTGAAAACATTTATTAAAAACTCTAATTTTTAGTTGTAAAATACGGTCTTCATAGTTATAATTTTCTTTCAAATTCTTCTGGTTGGTCAAAACTCCCGTCCCTTTTATTTTCGAGAGCCCCAAAGGTCTTGTAAGAGCTGGAAATTCGGAAAAGAAGACGAAATTTGATAGGTGGGCCTTTTCTCGGCCATTTCCGTGGCTTAAAAGATTTCCCAGAGATTCCCCTTTGAAGTAAATTAAAGTGAAAAATTTTCCTTTTAAAATACGAATAAAACAGTATGTTTAAAACATTATTTCGTTTTACTTCCCCAAAAAAATCAACAAAACCAATATTGTTTTCCCAAAATCTTCAAAAAAATCCCAAAAAAAGAAAATAAAAAACAAAAAATAATAAAATTAAATTTAGATCGGCCTTGATCCAAAATTATAAAAAAATTACTCAAAAATTATGTCTCAACTACAGATATTCAATACCTCCCAAAATCCAAAAAGAAATTGCCGGCCAATTTGAAAAGATAAACAAATTTGAGACTGCGCGGCGATTTATCGCCCCCAAAAGGTGGACTTCCGATAAGCCCGTAAAATAATGTGATTAGTTTGGAAAAAGTTTGGGGACACACTTTTTGTTTATCCACCATTCGGAAATGGGCTTTTGATGGGTGGTGAGGGCAGAAGAGGTGATTCAGAAGCGGTTTGGAAATTTATTAGGAAATAAAAATCGCAGGGCATTCGAATGTCTAAATTAATGTCTAGACAAAAAATGAGGGATGCAGATTCATGATATCCTTCAAACTTGGCCAAAAATGTATGACTCGATTTTATATCTTGGGCCTTTTAACGGAGTCGAGATATATGTTTTTCTCTCTGCTCGCTCTCGCGTTTCCCACTGTCTTGTCGACAAAACTTTTCGAATACCTCGGTTACAATTTGAAAGCGCCAACTAAAACACATAGAAACTTTATTAACTATACACTTAAAAACAAGAATGAATCTCTTTTACTTTTCACACATTTTATTCCACTTGGAGAAGACGATTTGTACTCTATATTTGACGACGTACCGAAGAAAATTTACGTATGTTGGTGAGCAGATGAGGTCATCATTTCCTAAAAGTATATTTTTTAAATCGCGGTGGAGCCCCTGTCCAAAAAATAGATCTTTTGATCCCTTTCGAATCGTTGTAACAAGGTCCTATTGTATCAACATGGCGAGAAAAATTACCTTCCAAAATAATTTGGTCCACCTTCCGTTCAAACGCTCCGTCTTGAATTCTCTTTATCTCATTGTGTGCCAAATCCAAGACCTCCAATTTCTCATTATTGGTAAAAGAATTCATCCATACATTTCTAATTTGATTTTCTCTCAAGATCAGCCTTTTCAAATTCGGCAATCTTCCCAAATATGGCACAACAGACAGCAAATTATATCGCAAACTTAAATATGTTAGCGATGGGTACGTTTTCCCTTCCACTCCAATCTTGATTGAGGTGATTCCGCAATTAAAAGTGTCCATCCATTCGATTGAAGCCGGAGGATCAATTTCAATGTCGTCCAAAGGTCGGAAGCACATGAAGCTCGCTTTGGTCACCGGATAATTTGAAAATCCCAGAGCGTATAGCGTCTAAAATAATTCCTAAACTGTAAACGAATCACGGGCAGCCGAATATTCGACGGCTTTCACGCAGGTGATCATTGGTCGCATAGCCAAGTCTAAGATGTCAAAAAGCAATAGTGACTCACGTAACAAAAATACGAAATTAAAAAAGCAAATACAGCACTTCATAAAAAAAATTAAAAAATCATCCAATTACTCACGTCTTTCATAGTCGTATCTTTTGAGACAGTGCAAAACGCCGCCTGCTCAACTGCGAGATATAGGCAGTTTAATGGGAAATTGGTTCGATCCTTTCTCAGCATCCATTCCACATCTCTTATTGTTACGCCACTTATACAATCAAGAAGAAAAACGAAGGAGATCAGAAATTTCATTGCAAATATACACTTACACTATTGTAATAAACACCCGTAACACTTTTGCCGATAAGACGACAGAAAAAAATTTCTTTTGATTTAGAAAAATCAGGACGAAATCAAATAATGGACAGAAAAAAGTCTGCGTAAAGCGATCCACGCAATCGCTATAACCAATTGTGCAACTTTTTGGGTATACCTTTTTTTATCTACAACAATATTGGCCCCCAACACCAAAATTTACAGCCTAAATTCCGGTAAACTATCCTTTTTCTGGCCCCGCCGAAAAGCAAGAATTTCCGGTTCGCGCCCACAACTTTTGCTGACTGCGAAACACGGTTAGGAATTTGAGAAACACGTAGGAATTTCAGGCTTAGCTTAGCCTCAGGCTTAGGCTGAGCCTCAGGCTTAGGCTTAGTCTCAGGCTTAGGCAGGTTAGGCTTAGCCTCAGGCTTAGGCTGAGCCTCAGGCTTAGGCAGGTTAGGCTTAGCCTCAGGCTTAGGCTTAGCCTCAGGCTTAGCCTCAGGCTTAGGCAGGTTAGGCTTAGCCTCAGGCTTAGGCTGAGCCTCAGGCTTAGGCAGCTTAGGCTTAGCCTCAGGCTTAGGCTGTTTCCTACTTTTATTCGCAGTCTGCAGGGAAACCGGGGCGCAAGCTGCGAAGCGCGGGGCCAGAAAAAGGATAGTTTTCCTAAATTCCAAGCAAATCAATGTAAAAGGGAGAGCTTACGTCATAAACATCGTAAAAAATCCATTCGAGCCTGCTCCATCGATGTTTTTTATTCGTACGGCCACAACTGGCTCTTCTTCTTCGCCATTGGAGTGGACGGAGACAAGGATGGAATACTGACCGCTGGAACAGAGAAGAAAGATAGTTTTCAACATAAAAGACAAAAAAATAGGCATGAACATGATAAAAATTAGTTACATTCGAAAAAAAACGTCAGTCAACCCAGTACAATGTTCAATCCTTGGAAAAAACAAAAAAGCCTGTGAATGGATCCACAATTGACAAAACGTGTACGAAAAAGACGCAATAATTCTCGGACGCTTTTTGAATGCGGTAAAATACGGCAGTCTGAACGCTGCGGGACTCAAGCCAAATCAGGCGTTTGTTGGCATAATGCAACAACAAGTAGTTTGTTGGGAACAACGAGTATTCTACGGTAAAATACGATGAATTACAATAGAAGTGTCACCTGGGAAAATATGCCTGTTGACGAGTGAAGAAGAAATTTTCAGTGGTTCTCGTTTTACCTGGGTTTTGTCTCATGTAATATCAACGCTCATGGCCGCGATTCCCAGCACTCCTCACTTGTTAGGAATCGGTATTGGCCGAAAAAATGTGGAATATCAAATCATAAACATGTGCCATAATCCTGGACGATTTTGTAAGTTTTCTTATTGCTTTTGTTTTGTCTTATTATTGTTGGTGGAATTTTTTCCTCGTTGTAATTCGTCTTTTTCAGCAAAAGTTGGCGTAATCCTGTTCAATGGTCAAAAATATTGCGCCAAAGTTGCGAGTCGAATGAAGAATCATTGCAGACAGGTAATTTTTCAGTTTATTGTTGATGTTTAGGTATCCCGGATGGAACAAGGAGGCATTATCCGGGAATTTTCGCAAAAGTTTTGTTTTTGGGGTTGCGATTTTTTGAGAGAAAATTTCGGACTTTTTCGCGGTTTAGGTAACAAAAATTAAGTTTCTGGATTTTCAAGGGTTTGTATGGCAATGTCTTTATGCAAACTACGACCTGAAATCTTTGAATCTGCATCGTGCATAGCTAAGCTATGTCTATAGTTGTTAAATTTGGCCGTAAAAGCATTGTGAGATAATAAAAATGACATCGTACTTGACACTCGGTATTTTTCATTTGTTTCCTGGATAATAAACAAAAATTTTTCAGGTAATGCTCATGGATGCTTTGACTAAAAAGTTTCTCGACGGAGACATCGCGGAGAAGGCCGCTCCCTTCTGCATCGATCATGGTATTGTTGTGTCAAGCAGAAGCAGTTCATACAAGTTCATCATGGTCGAGCTCTTATGGTTTGACTGCGATAGTGTGTATCGAATTGCCGCTTCTCGATACACGACACAATCTTTGCTGAAACTGGCCATCAAGGTATGTGGTTTGCGATTTTTTTTTTTGAATTTTAGGCAGTTGATGCAAGTTAAAATTTCAGCAAGTCAGAGCTCTTCAACGTGTTCATAAGGCTGGAATTATTGTTCGTGACGTTAAACACGACAACTTTTGTTTCACAAAGCCGAATTCAGATGAGCCGTGGAACGTCTACGTGGTCGACTTCAGTCACGGTCAGGCCTATATTGCGTATGATTGTGTAGAGTTTGATGACATGCTCTATCGTAATAAATTTGACCATAGAGTGATCGATCATAGGCCGTTTGCTCCAAGAATTCAATGCTTTGACTATCACGTACGTTTTAGAGATTATACAAGTTTTAGAGATTATATATCTCATAAATTGAATTTTAGTCTCATGTTCCCTACGATGACATGGAGTCATGGTTCTATTTCATCGCCAGGATGCAAGATGTGTCGAGATATTTCGTAAAATGGAGCTTGTTCAATGTGGAAGACATGCACAAGACTGAAAAGCACTTTATCCATGAATTTCGAGGAGTTTATCGAGTATTCTGTCAGGCCCGACGGGATGAGCCGTTCCCCTACAACGAAGTTGTTGATGTTTTAGAAAGGGAGCTAGAACATCATGTTGCGGGAATCGACTCATTTCATGTTGAAGAAGACGATGAGCCAAGAGTGATAACTGAGTATGGTAATGTAAAAAGAATCACAGAAGTTTTGCCGAGTGAAGTGATGACCTGGAGATAGTTTAGTTATTAATTAGACATGCCTCGTTGGCCGTCCCGGGCCGAAAATCGCGGACCGGAGGAGGTCAACGGTCCTAAATTTCCTGCGGCCCAGGCCGTAGAAAGAAAATTCTCCCCTTATGACCGTATTGGTCCTCCGGAAAGTCGGTGGACTCAAATCAGCGATGCGCACTGTGCGAAGACAAAAGTTTTCATTGCACTGTGCAGCAATTTCTTGGTTTTTGCACCGTGCAGTAGGTTTTTTTTGGGCTGTCGCTTGCACCCTTTTTTCGTACAGTGCAAACGCCAAAAATCAGTCCGGCGACTTTCCGGAAGGATTAATATTTTTATCGTAATGATTGCAAATACCTTTGCTTTCCTTGTCTCTAATACAAACAATATTAGAGACAAAAGAAAGATTTCACGGAAGTCTTGCCGGGTCAAGTGATGGAGGTGGTTTAAATACGATTACATATTTTGTGTATCCTTCCTCAATTTACAGTGGTGGACCGGATCCAGTGGCAAAAAACATACCATTTTGCATTCGGGAAGTATCGAAAAATGTAGCAAAATACCTCCCTCTCCAAGTGAAAAAACTCCGATTTTAAAAGCGCGCTCTTCAAAGCGGAGTTTTTTAGTTGTAGAGGGAGGCATTTTGCTACATTCTTTGATACTTCCCGGCAAACTGGTACGTTTTTTGCCACTGGATTAGGTAGTTAGTCATTTTGTTCCAATTTTTATAATTTTGATTACTTTAGAATTTTATTCATTTTTTATAAATTCGTATAGATACAAATTTTCTATTCGGAATCGCATTGCACATCGTTGGAGCCAGGCAAACTCCATTCCACATTGTTCTTAGTGGCATACCGTAGGAATAAGGGCCAATCTTTATCGCAAACCACCTTCAGATTCTCTGAAATTGGGAAGTATAAATTTCGGATTACCAGAAGGTATAGTCAAAAAAAATTGCTTACCATCTAAAGTTATTTTCTTCAACGGTCTTTCGAATGCGTTCAGCTCGATCCTTTTGATGTTATTGCGGGATAAATCAATGGTTTCCAGTTTCTCATTGAAAGTAAATGACCCTTCCCTGATACTTCTGATCGAATTGTCGGCCAAGTCAAGCTCGGTCAGTTCGGGAAGATATCCAAAGTAGGGAACCGTAGTCAGATTGTTTTTGGACAAATCCAAATGCTTCAAAGCAGTTCCGGTGTGTGATTTGCCGATAGTAATAGAAGAGATTCCGCAGTTGGAGAGGGTCAGTTCCTCGATTGGGGAGGCTGGTGTTGCGAGAACATGTCCTAGGGGCTCGGAGCAGTGGAAGATTAGGGTTCTGACGTCTTGAGCTCGAGGGGATGAAGCAATTGAGGTTATGAGCTGAACGATACAGTGTTATTACAATTAGGTCGACAAAACAAAGGTTTTGTACTACGAGAATTTTCATAAAGTCCGTGACTTTTTTCACTGTGCATTTCGATCCTTTTCAACACATTTTGTTGTGCAAATCATTTTTTTCCTGCAACGCTCGGCGAAAAGTCTACGCACTTTATGAAAATGCTGGTAGTCCGTTCGTGGAGCTGCTGAAGTGTTTTCGACGACATGCACTGTGAGACTAGTCCTTCCGGAAAGTCGCTGGACTGATTTTTGGAGTCTACACTGCGCGAAAAAGGTCAGGGTGCGGGCCCAGCCCAAAAAAGCCTATTGCACGGTGCAAAAAGCAAGAAATTGCACAGTGCAAAGTGAATTGTTTTCCCAGTCCGTTCGGAAAGTCGCTGGACCGAAATCGGCGGCACGCACCGTGGGAGAACAAAAATTTACTTTGCACTGTACAATTTTTGCTTTTTGCACCGTGCAATGGGCTTTTTTGGGCTGTCGCTCGCACCCTGACTTTTTTCGCACAATGAAAATTTCGAAAATCAGACCAGCGACTTTCCGGAAGGATTAGTGTCACAGTTCATGTCGTCGAAAACACTCCAATGACTCCACGAACGGACTACTACAGTGAGGGACCGGATCCAGTGGCAAAAAACGTCCCGCTTTGCATCCCGTAAGGGACCAAAACGTCTCCAAACCCTTCCCTTCTATGAGCTAAAAAACTCCGTTTTGAAAAGCGCGCCCTTTCCTTCAAGGCGGGCTTTTCAAAGCGGAGTTTTTTAGCTTAGAGAAGGGAAGGGTTTGGAGACGTTTTTTGCCACTGGATCCGGTCCCTCACTGTAGCATTTTCATAAAGTGCGGAGACTTTTTCGCCGTGAAAGCGCTTTCTGGAAGGATAAGTCTCACAGTGCGTCGTCGAAATCACTCCAGCGAATTTCTGAACGGACTAGAAAACTGAAAAATGCCTACCGTTCCAACTCCTTGGTCTTTGGTAGGTTTGCAGCTGGCTACCTTTGCAATCCCATCAAAGGTACAAGCTTCGGGCCAGATGAACTTCTGAACCGGAACCTCCTTACTTGATTCGTCAGATTCACTGGACGATGAACTGGATTTGACCTTCTCTCCGTTGCTCAAATAACATAGTAAAATCAGAACGGCAAGTTTAGTCAACATGACTATCTTTGTGTTATTGAAAAGGGAGCGAAAACAGAGGACGTTCTGATTATATCAACTGCTGTAAACAATCGAGCTTTTTCGTCGGAAATTGTGATAAGAAAAGACGAAAAAAGTCATAAACACAAGCCTGATTAATTGCTGTCGAGCCAAAATTGAGGCTGTGACAAAGTTGTACACCATATTATATTAACATCATCAGAAATATTTTATAGGCAATTTGAGCACTTCTGTTATAAAAAAACAAGTTACAACTAGCCCAAAAATGTAAAGTAAGCATTTATTTTTCCAAAAAAAGTTGAAAAAAATCATCATATTTCTCTTGGCATCAGTCTTCAGACATGGCGTCGATGTCGCTGAAAATAAAACAATTATACCAGCCAAGAGAGAAAATCAGAGAACCCCCGAAAAAATCTTACTTTCCATCCATTTCCCAGTCGTATTTCCGGACATATTCGTGATCAGAGATGAGGGCCGACCTCAACGCTTGATGGAGAGCTTGGTAGTTTGGGAACGTGTCGAATGGAGTCGCGAATACGAGCTTGGCGAACTTCAGAAATCCGTTTGGAGCGCCACGACACAGCTCCTTCAACGGGATATTCTTTTTCATCGCCTGCAAAGGTGGAGACATTTTATACGAAAAAATACGGAAGAAAGTTGGAGAAGCGCTACGAATTTTCGGGTCAGCGATACTATGCGTCGTTTAGTTGTTGTGAGCATGGTTGAGGCTAGGAGAAAGCTTAGTTAGTAGAAATAATAAGATTATCGGGCCCTAGGATAGTTTATCGCCTATTTTGAGGTACTTTACATGTACTCATATCAATAATATCTAGATAAAAGTTACAGATCTTTGTTCTTTGCCGCCAATTTAGGTCTTTTATAAGTCACAATAACCCAGGGTAGAGAAAACTAACGTGAGTATTGTAATAGCTAAGATTGAAAAAGCGGGCATATTGCAACTCTTCGCCAAGTCTCCGCCGACTATCCAGCAGTTTCGCCAGGCCTCGTAGGCAGCTCCTACTGTATTTTTTGGGTCTCCACCTGCCCTACGCCCCGTATCGATCGATTTTGTATTGACGCGAACCGTCTTCGACCCGAAAAGTCGGGATGCGGAAAAAATGACGTTATCGTATTTTTCAATTTGGCCACAAAACTTACAGTTGTCTCTTCTTCCCCGGAATTGCACCACGGCACCGACTTGACGCCCATCTCCACAAACGAATAGATCCAGGACTCCAGGTCGTCCGCTGGGCCCGTCTCCTTTTTCAAATGGGTGCGGACCGAGGCGTAGCGATACGTCCCGCGGAAATGGGCCCTGGTACGGGGCTTGCGCCACACACCCTTTTCCGGGTAGTAGAAGCGACGGCACATACCTGAAAATAGGGAAAATTTTATAAAAACTTGCTATAAATCCAAAAATTTTTCATTTAAAAAAATGAATTTTTTTTTTCATTTTAGCATTCGAATATTTTGTCTTCAACAGAGAAGTCGTATTTTACCCACCAAAATCAATGATATAGACGGTCCTTGGATCCTTCTTCCCAATGCACGTATTCCCCGGCTTCATATCGCGATGGACGAATCCTTGGCGATGCAGATATTCCAGACCCATGAGAACCTAAAATACGAAAAAATTTATAAAAAATTTGAAAAAATATTCAAAAAAAATTCTAAAATCATACTTGCTGAGAGGCTCTGATCGTTGTGCTCATGCTGAATCGTCGAGTTTCGCGGGAACATCGCAAAGAATCCAAGTTATTTCCGAGGAACTGCATCACAACATAAGGACAGCCATTTTCGCACTTTCCGGAGGCGTAAACGTTCGGAATATGGCGCTGAAAACCTTGTTTAGCTTCTATAATTAATCTACTCTTTATTTTCTACCGATTTAATTATTAACCTAGCTTTTTTGAATTTAAAAATTCAAATTCCCGCCAAATTTTTAAATCTTGGCATTCCGCCCATGATGTCGCTAGAAGTCCAGAAATGGAAAATACGGAAAATTCTGGGGCTGTGGAATTGATTGATATTAAATTTAGACTACTAAAGTCTTATTTTGACCCTTCAAGAGATCAATTATATTATCCTTGAGGAACTGGAAGTCTGGGTGGAAAATTGATAAAATAAATGCAACTTTTCTAATAAAAGATGTTTCGCAAACACAGCCCTAGACCGGAAACAGCGTATTTTACAATTCTGACAAGAAACTGTTCATTTTGACAGTTTTCTATATTATCCATGGCAATTCTCCTTCTATTTAAAAGCAAAAAAAATGTCGATAAATCTTAATTTCGCCTATCGAAAGAGCTGGAGATTAAAATTAAAAGGTCGAATACGGATGTTTGAATCGCCAGAAATCCTTACTTTTCCCCTCAATCGGACCAGCACATCCTTTTCGATGATCAATCTTCTGGGGTCATGCTGAGCGTATCGATGCATTCTCATCTCCGTCTTGATGGCCACTGGGTCTCCGGCCCGCTGCAAGTCGATCCCACGGTACACCTAAACTACGAAAAACATTTTTTTGGAAAAAAAAATTTGCAAAATCAGTAAAAAGATAGGCAAAAACCTTACCTGCCCAAATCCGCCTTGTCCCACCCGCTCCATGACCCTGAATCTCTCCTGAAGCATCGTGTTCCTCTCGATCAGATCTCCAATTTTTGACATTTGTCCCATTTTGGCGGACGAAGGAAATTATGGCCGGGAGAAAAGATCGGACCGGCCGAGACAAGGAAAATTGTAAAAATGAAAAAAAAGTTGATTTCTAGGATGTCTAGGGCCATAAATGACATAATTGTTCAAAATGACGTATATTGCCTCAAATTGCTCCCATTTTCTTCGTTTTGGCTACATCGTAAATTCTGATACGAAGTTTTTACGCGAGGGTTTAAATTAGACTATGACAATAATATCGGTCAAGTTCGGGTCAGCGATACTATGGACCGCGTCAGTTCGTCTTTGTATGCATGGGTGAGGCTAGGAGAAGGCTTAGTTAGTAGAAATAATAAGATTGATCGGGTCCGAGGATTTTCCATCTATTTTGAGGTACTTTACTGACATCAATATTATTAGTACCTAGATAAAAGTTACGGATCTTCTTTTTTTGCCACAGATTTTGGTCTTTTATTTGTTATAAGGACTTCGCCGAAGTCTCTGCCGAGCCTTCGCCGAGCGTCCGTCGAGCACCCAGCGACTTTGCAAGATCTTGTTGGCGCTTCCTGCAACCCTTTTTTGGGTGTCCATCTGCCCTACGCCCCATATCGATCTGTTTTGTGTACTGTCGTCTACCCAAAAAAAAGTTGGGACGCGATTTTTTTTTCATTTTTTAAAATCAAAATTCAAGCAATAATCAGTCATAAAGAAACAGGGGAGACGATCGAAAATCCAGAAAAAAATATTTTATTCAAACCATTAAGCCATGGAACACAACTACTTCTTCCCTGCTTGCGGTAGAGGAGTAGGGGGTTGGAGCACAGAAGGAGGAGTTTTCGCCATAGAAGAAACGGCTTTCCGCAGAGAAGGAAGGGTTTTCCGAAGAGAAGGAGGATTTTTGGGGACTTGGAATTTAAGGCGTGCATCGAGGAATCCGATAAAGCACGACAGGATGCCCAGTGCGTTCAAAAACAAGACGCAGGCGATATAGTCTCCATATGCGTCGGTGACTGACTGGCCCTCCGTGAAGCTTGACTCCGCCGGGAACGCGAGTCCAAAGCCTACAAATTGGGTGTGGTTTGATTATAAACTTACCACTATCCGCCATCAACGACCACATCACGATTCCCGCGACGGAACAGATGATTCCGGCTAACTGCAGAGGCCACACGCCATTCAAGTGACCTTCCCCGAACCAGAACGTATGAATGAAGCTGAACAGGCCCATCAGCGCAAAACTTGGCCCAATGGTCATCAGGAACAACGTCAGGGCTCCGGCAACGACGTCGACAGAGGTCTACAAGTAGAACGGTACAAAAAAGTTACAAAAAGTTCTTTTCGAAAGTGGGCCGCTATTCAAATTGATAAGCAATTCATCAAATTTTCTTTTCGCACCCAGAGTTATTGGAAAGTTTATTTTGCAACGTCCTCTCTAAGTTTCACCCAAAATTAGCCTCAAAACGGAAAATTAGCTGAAAATCATAGGGCGCAGCTTGGAGAGCTTGCACGGGCGCAGCTAGCGCTTTCTGCGCAGCTCGAAAGCAAGCCGAAACTTAGCTCAGAGACGTTGTATTTCCTACCATTTTCAGCTGACTTTCAGCCAACTTTCAGCTAGCGCATTGCCCCCAGCTCGAGTCTCGGGGAACCTCAGAAAACAAGCTGGGCTGCGCCCAAGACGCGAGCTGCTCCCGTGCAAGTTTTCCGAGCTGTGCCCTGCCATTATCAGCCAACTTTTAACCAAGTTTCAGTCAGCGACTTGGCCCCTGAGCCTAATATTTATTGCAACCAGAACGGTTCGGGCGGAAGCTGCGGAACCTCCTTTTTGCTTGGCCCAGGGGCCAATGCGCTATCTGAAAGTTTGCTGAAAATGGTAGGGCGCAGCTCGGAAAACAAGTTTTCGCAGCTCACCGGAGCCAAGTTTTAGCTTGTTTTCGAGCTGCGCCCAAGACGCGAGCTGCGCCCGCGCAAGTTCTCCGAGCTGCGCCCTATGATTTTTAGAAAATTTTCAGATAGCGCATTGGCCCCAGAAAGGGGAACTTTTACCCCTTTCAACCCTATTCTCATATAAAAGGCTCGAAAAACTCCTTTTCCGACCAAATATCGACAACCACTCACTTTGAATTCATTGTGGCATTGATCGTTCAGCTCCGTCTCGTTGAAGTTGCAAAACGGTCCGCCCACCACACCGAACGTAATGTTTTCGTTGTAATAAAGCCAATCCGGTTGCCCCACGAGTTGGTAGCAGATAAACACCATTGACAATGTCAGCACAACAATGAAGACTCGAGCCACCCACACGCAGACGAGAGCCGCACCCATAGCGTCGAGCTGGAAGACGACCGGTACAAGAGAAGGAAAGAACGCGTGGAAGGGTCGGCCGAAAAGAATCAAAAATAAAAAAAGATCTATTTTTTGTGACTTTTTCATTTTTTCAAAATGGATTTTTTTTTTGGATAAGTGCAACGTCCAGATTTTGATAAAACTTGGCACAAATTTAGGATAATTTTTTCTAAAACATATACGAGTTTCTTAGCTCGCGTTTTGCAGAAACAACCGAGATTTTTAGGTTTAAAAGTTGGGAGAAACGTAACCCTTTTTTGCAAATTTTGGCTTGAAAATCCGAGCCTCCGAGCGGCGCACTGGAACCCTCTATTCCGGCGCTTGGTTATAACCTGAGGCGCAGGTAACGCGCCACAGAGAGTAGCATTAGTACTTCACAACACATAGGAAAGCAAAGTTTATTTGGACTGCTTGACAACTTCCTACAATCATTATTTCCATCGGGCCAAACAGACGCCCCGACTTGAGTGGATATTATAGATGTTTCGCTCGCAGCCCGAATCTCTTATATCTCTCGTGTAAAGCTTTATGTTGCTATATGATTGGTAGTGAATAGCTCTGCCACTACCTGAGGAGCAATGCCCATTGCTTTACAAAATCAAATTGCTCTCCACTTCAGTGACGCGATGGGCACAGCAAAATTGTGCTCATTATTTTCCCGACAGGCTGACATGGCTTAACCCTTTTCTGAATGCCTATTGTTCAGTTCTTGCGACCTATGTTTTTATTGAAGCATTGAACACAGTCAGGCAAGAATCTCCATACATTTTTGTTTGTAATGGTCGACTTTATAGAAATAGATAAAGTTTATTAGAGAATAATTACAAGAGAATTACAAGAGCATTAAGAGAGTGGAAGCGCTTCCTCGAATGATTTCGAGGGCGGCTTATACAGGGTGTCCAGAGAAATTCCGCGGAAAGTGTTTGCCGATTTCTCGGCGCTTAGGCAAGATATAAAAAAAATTCTTTTTGCATTAGAAAGAAGACTATGGGCGGTTTTTTGTCTAAAAAAGTTTTTTTGTCCGCCGACGCGGAACATACTGTATTCGGCGGAGACTTTTGGTAGCTTTTTTGGTCATCACACCAATCTTAAGCGCTTTACTATGATCCTGAAACTATCGGGAAGCCTTCAGTTTTTTCCGCAGAGGATTAGGGGGCCGACGACAACGCTATGCAATCGCATTTAGCGACTGCACCGCACTGTGTAGTTGCGTCAACAGCGATGAAGTCCGACCGCATCGTGCGGAGGTTTGAAACAGCGGGGCAAAGAGAAGTTCAAACAGAAAATATTTTGTTGTTTTCTGGTACACCAAGTCGTTTACTGATGGCTAAGCTGCTGCCAAGGCTTGGCGACAAAATTTTGGAGAGCATATGGGATCAGCAAAGAATGCTAGCCACATAATGTTTGGGACATCTCCTATCCAAAGCTGAGTTGTGGCCTCCGCCGATACGGAAAGCTCGCCATTCCATTGCCCAACGTTTGGTAAACATAAAAATAAGATAACATTCTCTTTTTAACCATCAGAAATCGTACTGCAGCTTTTAAGATTGGTGTGATGACCAAAAAAGCTACCAAAAGTCTCCGCCGAATACAGTATGCTCCGCGTCGGCGGACAAAAAAACTTTTTTAGAAAAAAAACCGCCCATAGTCTTCTTTCTAATGCAAAAAGAATTTTTTGGATATCTTGCCTGAGCGCCGAGAAATCGACAAACACTTTCCGCGGAATTTCTCTGGACACCCTGTATAGTAGATTGGGATGTTGTAGTTTGGGTTGCACACATTCCAAACTTGGTTTTTATGAACTCAATTTCTGCTGAGTCACTTTGTGTCCTCATCCGGTTTCGCAATCCGGAAGCCATCGATCATTATTTCTTCATTGTTTGACGCACGTAATGCGCGTGGTCATTAATCTTGAACTCCTTGGGTGTGGTCTCCTTTGACCACTCCATTCGTAGTGTAGCGGCGGTGTTCACGTGGTTTCCGCACGGCTTCCATTATTTGATCATTACATGTTATTGGCATTGGTTCAAGTACAAAAGTTCGCTATAAGGAGTCATCCTCAAATTCAAGGGGTTAGATCATCGCACAAGCTGCGAGATCAACAATCAAACCGACGACAACTACAGCATTTATTGGCAAAACTTTTGAAAAAAATGTTTCCATTCATTCGAACTTGACGCCAATCAGGTGAGCAACCACTAGCCGTCCTATTACGGGCATCACAGACCCCATTGGCTGCCCTCCAAGCCACGTGAACCGCCTATGGAGCGGTCTTCTATGGCGGAAGAGAGTTCTGCCGGTACGTCTGAAATATTTCTGCCCAAGTTGAGTCATACACTGCCATTTGAGGGTTATGGCATTCACTGAAACCAGAGTAGAATCAGTACCTAAAACCAAAGAAAAAGGAGAAGGCACCAAGCACGACTTACGCTCTGCTTAATACAAACGAAGCCATTCCCGCTCTTCAACGGACGGGTAGCTCCCTTGGACCTGGTCGTGGATGATGGGAAGACAGGGGCGAGCCTCCAAAACCAAGAACGTTGACGTCGGGAGAAACCACGACAGGGGTTTGCATGTCAGAGGCGCCGGGATCGGCTCGCCGTTGCATGAAGGCGCTGAAAGCAAAATGTCAATGTAAAACGGACACGCAAAAACATCAAGACAAGTACAGGGTACGCCAATAAAAGCTGCACTCAAATCTTTGGCTTGCCCTGTGGGCTGCGAATACTCCGGTGAGTTGTTTCTTTATATACACCGAAATTAATTTTGCCTCATTATGACAACTACGACTCTTTACAGCTCGCCAAAGTTGGTTTTTAAAACAAAAGGGTCCCCCTTCTTGGCGCTAATTTTGGCCCTACAAACTACAGGAGTCAACAAGGACACCGAGGACTCATACCCGGTCAGTCACCTGCGAGGAGGCCTGATGGCAGAACTTTCAGGAAGGTTCTGGAAGCTCCATAATTCTCTATAATTAGCGGCCACTCCAAACTACGATAGACGCGCACAGAGCACATGGGAATGACCTCAAAATCACTGGACGCCCCGCCCAGGATCAGGCACTATATAAGCCGGCATCAACGCCTCAGCGAGGACGTCCACCAAGAGGATAACCTCTAGGTCATTGTTTTGCAATATTGCTGTGTTTTGTTTTTATTGTGTTTGTTAGCCGAGCTCGAGATAAATATTGATATCATATATTGTGGGTTTTCCTTTATTTCTCCACTGCACTACGCCGTGTAAGCTCTGATACTTCAGAGCAAGATCCGCCGCGGTCTACTGAGACCGAAAACCCACCCCGCGTTTTAACTATTATATTTCAGTGCAATGGTGGACCGGCGGCACCCCCAGTCCATGTCTCTGCGGAGGCGAAAAAGCGCATACTGTACATTCCACTGCACAACGGAAAAGGTGATTAAGGCCGTTCCCACCGCTTATCTCTGGCTCAGATCTGGCCATAAGACGCCGGAAGGGGTAGACGATAGGCCTGTATAAAAGCACAGAAGAACGTGCCTTCCGGGTCGACCCAGCGTTCTCCGATCGGAAAGCGTTGTTATAACTTCTGCCTTAATCAGAAGGCTCAGGTTTAGTTTTATGAAACTCAAGGGGGAGTTTTTGGTCTCTGAGGAGACGAGTGTCATGCAACTTTTCTAAGCCCTGAAAAGTAATGAAAAATTAAATTTTCGGAAAAAACTAAAAACACAGTTTTGTAGAGGAGAAAAAATTGTATCAAATAAATATATTTCCTTTGCCAAACAACAAACAAACCTTGTAAAACAAAGCAATGAGTAAAAACGAACGAACTTTCTGGACGACTTAATATTTCATATTTTATTCCTCAAAAAGTGTGCAAAAGAAAGTTAAAAAAAATCTCGAACTAATACAATATCAAAAAAAATTGAGATTACAACAACACAGTAAAAATCCCAATATATATTCTAAAGCCAAAACATTTTTTTTTAAATCCAAAAACAGAAATTCTACAAATTATCGTGCCGGTGACGGATGCAACGAGTTCACCTTCGTGGTGCTGCTCACCACCTCCGTGGGCTCATTGGCGCTGTCGATGAAGTCGATGTCCAAGCTGATGGGGTCGGATTTGCTGTTCTGGATCAGCGGATTGTAGGAGGAGGACTGCGTTTGCGCCAGCGGTTTGCGCTTCTTCTCGTCGCTCTTCCCCCGACAACAATACTTGGCGCAAATGCACGCCAGACAGCCCACCGTGAAGGCGAGGGCGAGAATTGCGGCCGTGAAAATGGCAAAAGTGCGGGTCAGTTCCTCGCGCGACATCTGCATCCTGGAGAAGTTGGGGTTGTCGGCGTTGCGCAGCGACAAAAGCAGCAGGTTGAGGATGGTCGGGAGGGCTATAATCTTGAGAATCGAGGGCTTTTTGTAGAAGGTAGAATAGAATTGATTTCACAGGGTATTTTTCGGTCAAAAAACGGGGAAAAATTGAGTAGAATAGAGCAAAAAGTTGGTAAGCACCTCAAATTTGAAGGCGTTTTAGATAAAATAAGTAGAGTAATGTAGAGTAGTGCAATATTAGTCTGTTGTCGATGAGTTTTACTCGTATTTTTTGGGTCAATTTCGATGCTCAAGTAAAGGTTGATTAGCTGTAGAGCCAAAACATTGCCTAATTGTAGGAAAAATGATGACAATTCGGAGGCCGATGGACAAATCTGAAAAAATAATTTTTTTTTCTGAATAGAAGAAAAGTTTGTAAAATACGGTACGCGTGCAAAACAAAATTCTTTTGTTTGAAGAGTAGAAAAGAGTTTGTAAAATACGGTAGGCATTCTTTATAAAGAAATAAACAGCAAGAGCTCCATGAAGAACAAAGTTTTGTGTGAAAAATATCAAAGGGTCTTAAAAAAGGGCCAGTACAGCAACTTTTGAATCGCGCTTTTAATGATGAATCTATCACTGCTTAGGATATGAAATGTCAAAAAAAAATTATTTTGTCTCCTGCTACAGAAAACCGGCAAAATTGGAAATTTTAAAATAATCTTATTACAGATGTTCTATATATCCATAATTTTTCTGTCTTTATTTTTACAAATTAATTTTCCGGGCATTTCATTTTTTCGGACATAAAAAAATTCAATTGAATAGTATCTATAGCGAGATTTATTTCCTGTAGAAACATTTTGCTTTATTCAGACTCGTTTTGGACCAAGATTAGCTCTAAGGACCCGTTCGTTATAGAGCGATTTTATTGTAAAAAGGTTCGATGAACAGAAGCTTCATTGTATGCATAAAAATAACGTAAAAAGTTTAGCTCAAAAAATTAAATGAGTCATTGAAAATTTTAACTCAGACATTGGATGTCCAGCCAAAAGATTTAACGAGCTCTCCAGACGAGTCTATGGAAAACACGAAAACATATAAGGAAAAAGAGGTCAGAAAAAAGATTTTTTTGAACAAATCTTTTTACAGCCTTGCAGAAACTTTTGGCCGCTGTGCAACAAATCTCAAAGGACCAAAAAAATTTGTTTGTTATAGAAGATTTTTGTTATATTTATGTTTTGTTTGGCCTGAAATTAAAGTTTGGGACATATAAAAATGTTTGTTATAGAGAGGTTTTCCAGGTTTTTAGTGGATTTGAAAAAATTGTAAAATACGAAAAATTTAAATACGAAAAAATTAAAATCATTAATTTTTGTACCAAATAAGAAAAAAAAGAATAAAAAATATGCTTCATATAGATATTGCCCTTTCACTTGCTGAAAATTCCGAATCTGGACACAAAGAACTAAGTCGTGCTTTTACAACGAGTGGCGGGCAATTAATCCGCCAGACGAGGAAATTATAAAATTATGAGAGGCAATGAAAATAACTGTAAAATTTGTTTTTGCAAAAGTTTATGTTAAAGTACGTTTTCAGGCAGTAAAAATGGTGAGCCCAAAAAAAGATTATCTTGATTGTTAATTTTAGGTAAATAAAATATTACTATAAAAATAAAAAAAAACAAACAAAAAAAATAAAAATGTTTTTTTTGTAAAATACGGATTTTGTTTCTTTTAATTTATTAGCCTTTTAAGTTTAGCTAAAATACGGGTCTTTTGCGCAGTTTGTCATAAACAGAACACACATTATAAGGCCACGAAATAAAAAAAATAAATAAAATTTATTTTGTAAATAACGGCTTTTTATTTTTTACTCATAACAAAATAGAATACATATATATGTTAGGATAAAAAAAATAAATGAAAAAAAAGATTTTTATTGTAAAATACGTCTTTTAATTTTTTTATTTTTAAATTTAAACATTTAGTCTTTTTAATTTGTAAAAATACGGGGTCTTTTATGCATTCTGTTATAAATAAAAAACGTATTCATTTTTGGCCAAAAAAATAAAAAAGATTTTTTATAAAAATACGCATTTGTGTATTTTTTATTCATAAATTTAAATTTTTTAATTTTGATAAAATACGGCAATTATATTGTAAACTATGGAATACATCTTTTTGGACAAAAAATAAAAGAAAAAAATTTTAAAATACGGGCTTGGGTTGTTACTTAACCATTATACATGGTTATTCTTACATTTAAACCTTTCTTCAAGCGTAAAAACAAGAAAGTAAAGACTTTTTCACTTGTTTTTCCGCAAAATTAATTGACCATTAGGTCCGAAAAAAGAAGTGCCAGAATGCCGGAGGCGAGATAAAACTTATAAAGATTAGGCAAATTAAGGTTGAAGTTGAACATAAACAGAATAGTAATAAGGAAAGGATGGGGGTCAAATAGTGGGAAAAATAAATTTTGATGATGCTCAAATTCATTAAAAAAATAAAAGTTCTAAAAAACGAGCAAATTTTTCATACAAGTTATCGCTCTGTCGGGAAATTAATGAGCACTATTTCGAATTGAAAATCGCATCGTCGCTGAGAAAATGAATTGTCTCGCGGCAAAATCAAATTGCTTTTAATTTGACGCGGTTGGCCCAGCAAAAATATGCTCATTATTTTCCCGACAGACTGCTACAAAAATTTGGTCGAAAAAAATTATTTTTTTTTTTTTTTTTGAAAGAACTGTAACCTCACAATAATTCATAAAGTTTTTACTAAAAAAAGCGAGTAGATTTCCTCTAAAATCATCAAATTTCTACCCAAAAAATCAAAAAGTTTTATCAAAAAAATTTTCATTTTTTCTTCCAAAATTTCCCCAAAAAAATCAACAAAATTCTATCCACGATTTTACCACTACAACCTCACTTTATTACTCTATTCCTTGCGAAAACATAAACGCAAAAAACACGTCACAAACCCGACAAATTTCTCTCCTCTTTTTCGTTCCGGATCAGGTCTGAAAGGTGAGAAAAGCGACTCGTTCTCCCCGGATCTCTGGCCAAGGAAAAGAGAAGGAACACGGATCGAAAAGCGAGCAACCGGTGGCTCATTGTTATCAGATAATGGCCGAGATCTCAAAGCAGCCGATTTTTGGGATACTATATAATATTTATGAGTCTGTGAAAAGGGATTTACGGAGTGTGTGGATAACAAAACGGATAAGAAAAAATAAAAACAGCAAGGATGGGGAGATGGGGAAAACAATGCTAGCAGTCTGTCGGAAAAATAATGAGCACTATATCGCTGCATCATTAGCATCGCTGAAATGCAGAAAAGCAATTTGATTTTGCTGCGACACAATTCATTTCCTCGGCGGCGATGCGATTTTCGATGCGACAGAGTGTTCACTATTTTCTCGATGGACTGATAGTCAGAGATTGCCACGGCCAAAATTTCGGCTCCGGCTTTTAGCTTCCAGAGCCGGAGCCGACACCAAATTTGCGGCTCCGGCTCCCGCGCAAAATTTTTTTAAAAAATATTTTTCCAAAGATAAAAGTCATTGGTGCCAGAGATGACACACCCAACGTTATTAAGCCAAGTCGTATGTACGAAACACATCCTTCCTAGTATTTCTCAGGCCATTGTTTTAACAGGTTCACGAAATTTTTACTTTTCTGAACGCTGAGAAAACCTGGCTCCGGCGTTGGGCTCGGGAGCCGGAGCCGCTCAGAGCCGGAGCCAAGAGCCGACTCGGGAGCCGTGGCAATCTCTTCTGATAGTTCGTAAGTAAAGTCGCTGGAGTGATTCCAGCGACAAAAACTGTGAAAAAATATGTGGTTTTCTGTCTGACTGTTCTCCACACTTTGCGTTCCCTCTTGTTGATCAAGGTATATAGTTGAATACCTTAGGTATGCCTGCAAATGTAAGCGCAAGCTAAAATTTAACTTTCCAAGACATCTATGGGAAATTTGAGCTCCGTGTTTTGAACGCATCATACAAACTGCCACGTATTTTACCATCAGATAATAGACAATTATATCAGTCTGTCGGGAAAATAATGAGCACTCTGGCGCATCGAAAATCGCAGCCTAGAAAATTGATTGTGTCGCGACAAAATCAAATTGCTTCTCAGCTCAGCGAAGCTTCTGATGCAACGACATTACACTTATTATTTTCCCGACAGATGATAGTATTATTTTTCCCATGTCCCCATCCCTGCTGTTTTTATTTTTGATTATCCGTTTTGCTATCCACACACTCAGTAAATCCCTTTTCACAGACTCATAAATATTATATAAGAGCGAAGGAATAAGAGCGAAAAAAATCTTCTGAAAAAAATGCTTCAGCCTCTTTCTTTTTTTGTCGAAAGAGTCTCGAGCAGATTCTCACCACTTGGGAAAGCGTCTGCCGTCACACTCTTTCTTCTCTTCTAGAGGAAGCGTCTGCGAGCAGGCTCTTCCCGACGTTTATAAGCCCCGCCCCCTCGATTTTGAGCCAATCGCTGAGTTGGTGGTTTTCTTGCAGAAAACGGTTGTCTTGGGTGAAAATTTTTGCCTTTTCATTATTCCGGTGATTTGGGCATGTTTTTATTTGTTTTAGAACTGTGATACGCCTAGCCTTACTATAGCTGTCATTTGAAGATTCAATTGAAAATCAGATACATTCCTGGTTAACACAAAGGTTAAGAAAATATTTACAGAACAAGTTTCACAGATATATTTATGTGCAACACAAGTAACATCGAGTTACATTTAGATGTAGAGGGCCGCGGCGGATTCTGCCCATGGGCATTCGTTTCCATATTCACGGTCTCCCTTTCTTCCCCGTTGTTACTGAGATTGGCAGTGCAATTTTGGGACATTGAGGCTGAATTTGGAAAAATTAGTAACTTTTCGAAAATTTTACATCTAAAATAACATCAAAACTCCTCAAAACAACTCTCTCGGTCCTACTTATTATTGGCGCACCTGCAAACACTCACTAAACTGCACATTTTACCTTATTTTA